ATTACTTTATTATTCAAGGTACATTTCATCAATTATTAAAAGATTTGACTTTTATATTATGTAGAACAATTCTAGCAACTTTAAAACCAGTGCAGTTATAAGTTAAAATAAAAAATAAGAGAAATTCCGAAGAAATTGTAGTTGTTTAACTAATTAGCTTTCAATGTTTAAACATTGTTAATTTTATTTATTTTTTAGAGCGCTTAGTAAAAGAGAGTCTTATAATTGCCGGCAAATATTAATGTTTAACTTAAAGTCCCTTTTTAAACTTTAGTGCAATAAAAACCAGATGAATGGCCAGCGCACAGCAAAACTCGGTTAAATAATTATTGTCTTCTTTCGCTTTAAGCACCTTCTAATTGCCTTTGTTAATTTGCGAGCATATTTCACTGGAAAGTGGCTTTAAATGGCAGGGAGTGGAAGTGGGAAAAGCACTGCGAGGAGAAATCCAACGCCAACACCAAAACCGAAACCAAAACCTAAACCAAAGCGGACAATGAAGCGTGAAAAGCGGAAACGGAAATTAAGCAACTGCTGTGGGACTGGCTTCAGAGCTCCAGAGCTCTAGAGCTCCAGATCCTGTGGCAGGACATCGCCGTCGCCATTGTCGCGTCACTTGCCACGCGGTGGCCATTGTCCAGTGTCCTTTCTCCACAGTCCTTTCTCCGCCGGTCATTGTGCACTTGGTTTTCCGCGAAGACAACGGAAAACTGCAAAAGTGGAAACGGCTCAAAGGGGCGGATGGAGGCTGTTTCCCCGGACTCCACTGTACAGTCATCCCTGCGTTTGACTGCTGCAAATTGCACGAGGTGGTGAGGTTGCAGTTTGTTTATTCCCTCTATTCGGTTGATCTCTTTGCCTTCAGCCACTCCGTTGAGTTGGTGATGAATATGCAAAAACGACTTTAAGAAAACCTGAAATAGTTGCTTTCTATTCAGATAGCATTTTGCAATTTCGGGGTTTTTAACTGGTAGTTGCATGACAACATTATTCATCATTTTGTAATTACCTCAAAACACTAAGTAGTAAACATTTTTTTGAAGTTCTGTACCCAAGCCGATCAGAAATTTTGCAACTGAAAAGTAAAGTATTACCAACAAGCCTTGTTGCCTTAAAACTTTTATGATAACGCATCTGTCGTTGTTTCCCATTATTAGCATAACCCAAGGGCCAATAAATAGATTAGGTAACGGAATAATCCTACGAACAGATGTTCAAAAGAAGAATTTGGGGCAGGTAAAGCCACCGACTACCTGTTACCCTTTACCAATGGGTTGTATATAAGCCAGTCTGAAGAAGGGAAAGCTATCAGTCATCAGTGGAATCCAGTCCTAGACACATCTGAGTAATTGCAACAGATTTTGAAGTGATCTTACTATTCCTAATTATTGGAAGAACTGCTAATATTCATTTGAAGCAACCACTTTGAGAGCTTTGCAAATCGCAAGAGTCGCACCATCTTCAGTTTGAAAAGTCACATAAGCCACTCGAAATCTCCATAGCCATGTTCGACGACGAGCCCATCTCCAGCTTCGTGTTCTCGAACGAGAAGACGACGCAGACCTTCCACCACCAGTGGTTCGCCCAGGGGCAGTTGCACGAGTGCGCCACCTGCTACAGCTGCATCGACGCGGACGAGCCGCCCTCCCAGCACTGGCTCCGCGGAGGAGAGGCCTCCCAGGGCCTGCAGCTCACCAAGCAGCAGCAGGCGGTCCTGGACATCATCGAGGCCCGCCAGATCGAGACGTTCTTCTTCTGCGACGAGAGCTCCAAGGACAAGCTGGACCACTTCGTGGGCGAGACCTGTGCCAGGGGAGTGCCCGAGCTGCTCCGCTGGATGTTCCAGAACAGCACCGTGGCGGTGGAGTTCAGCCTGGCCTGCTACGTGAACGCCATGGACCAGGTGCTGATCTTCCAGAGCGGATCCCTCCGGGTGGACCACCACTTCGACGTGGACGAGTGCGTGGGCGTGGTCTACGAGATGCTGATGCAGCGGATCGAGAACTACCTCAACTGCAGCAGCGAGTACGGGATGGCCGAGTGCAGCATCACCAGGCTGCGTGTCCAGGTGAAGCGGATTCGAGTGGACGCGGAAAGCCAGGGAGAAGCTCCCTTCTTCGCACTGCCCCTGCAGCTGCAGCAGGAGGAGGGCCTGGCCACCCCCGCGGCCTCCTCCACCAGCGAGGCGGAGCTGGCCAGCCTGCGCTCCGCCTACCTGAAGCACTTCCGCGAGTGCAACGGCTACTTCCCGCCCAACATGCGGGTGAACCTGTACGGGCTGCAGCAGTGCAAGACCACCAAGGAGCTGTACGTGGTGCCCTACCACGTGAGCGAGACCCTGCAGCAGCTGCCCAACAAGAACTTCCTCATCCTGAACAACATCATGGGCCAGTTCCGGCGGCTGCACGAGCTCTCCACCCCCGTCAAGTCGGTCAGTCCGTCGAGGGACTCCTGCAGCTCGCCCGCGAAGGAGCTGCACTGCCGGAGGTGCCGCAGCCAGTTCTCGCGGAGCAGCAAGCTGCACATCCACCAGAAGCTGCGCTGCGGGCAGGACTTCTCCGTGGACAGCATGCACGCGGACATCGTCGAGATCTACGAGCAGTGCCTGCCCATCTCGAGGAGCGTCTTCCAGTACGCCTGCTACGGCATAACCAAGCCCAAGACCGTGATGCGGAAGGGCCAGTTCGTGCCCATCGAGTGCGACTGGCGCAGCGAGAGCTCCGTGAAGGTGCAGCACGGCCCGTGCGTCGTCATCAGCAACGCCCAGCACAGCAGCCCCTGTAAATTTTACTGAATAAACACTAACTATAAGCTAAAACACGCCTTCGTTTCTTCTCTGGTGCGGATCCTTTTTCAGCGGTCTATATAGTGCTTCTAGGAGCAACTAATAAGTTATCCGAAACTACAAAGAAAGTACCGCTTTATAATTATTTAAAAGCAACAAAATAGTTAAACACGATTTCAAAGCATACTTTTTAGCGCAAGAAAGACGAAGAAAAAATTTAGAAGGATCCTGGTTTTAGGGCTTCGAAAAATGTGCTCAAAAATTCCAGAAAGAAATAGGGGAATGTTGTCAGGGTTGGGCCATATTTTGACCTCTGCCCATAAGTACTGAACGAATGACAATTTAGAATATGTTTTTACATATTTGGAAAGGTACAAGCAAGAGAAAGTGTTCACCAAAAATAGAGAATTAAAAAACAAAAACAAAAAAAGTTATAGGCGTTCAGAAAATCGTTGACAATATCGTAACATGGTGGAATAAAATTGAATTCAGGTAAATCTAACATTATTTTGTTCATTTATTTTATTATTCGGGATATTTTATTAGTCGGTTGAAGAAAATGATTCAGAGTTGCAGTTTTGACATATAAAATAACTTTTTCGCATTTTTGCGCACTTCAAGTGAACTTCCCTCTTGCATTAAATGTACGCAACAGAGTTGTTGCGATTTGTATACCGTGGCATAGTTTCCAAACAAATAATGCAGAAATCGATGTCTTCATCTTCATCAGAAGAGAGTTTATTCTGCACTTTCTTTGGGGGACGACCACGATTCGCTGGTATTTTTTGGTGCATGCTTTTGGTGCAAAAGTTGTTCTTTTTGCTCGTTGTTTTTGTCGAATAAAAGTTAGAAATAATTTCTTTGTCTCATTCAAAATTCACTCTTTTGCATATTTTTGCTACAAAAGACTGAAATATTACAACAAAAATCGAAAATATAAGAATAAAGAGTAAAAATTATGACGGCCCAATCCTGACTACAAAAGTGGTCCAACCCTGACGACATGCGTTATTAATCTATTATGGTATGACATATCCAAACTATATCTGCCAATGTAAATATATCTTAGTGTTTTGTAATATAACAACTATATTACGTATTTTTATGCTCAACTTGCGGATGACATGTTGCAATTTTGAGTTATGACACCTTTTTGGCCAGGTTAGGAAAACTTTTCCGAACACTTTTCCTTGACATACCAACAAAACGTAGAAAAAAGTAATCCCGAAATGAGTAGTCATTTGGAAAGTTTCTTGTGACCGATAGAAGTTTATTGACACGCACTAGTACGAATATCCATATTATTGAGATGGCCCAAGCCTGACAACGGTCCAACCCTGACAACATTCCCCTACAAATAATTTTCGGAGTTACAGAAGAAATAGTGAAATATGTAGTTTTTTCGAGTTCTCCTAATTGGCGGGAAATATAGAAAAAAAAACTTAACGTCCAATCGAAACAAAACAAAAAGTATTGCATTCAGGATAAAATTCTCTTCAAGATGAACCAACAATACCTTAAGCCTTAAAAGTTATGATAAACCTTTTTTTATATCCTTGCAGAGAAAAGGGAATGCAGTGAAGCAGACACCTCAGACTCCATAAAGTATATATATTCTTGATCAGCATCACCATCTGAATCGAAATATGACTGTACGTCTGTCCGTCGGTCTGTCTGTCCTCCTGTCGGTTTCTCTTTAAATAGTCTCTCAGTTTTAAAGCTATCTTGCTCAAACATTACCAAAAGTCGTGTAGTTATTGCACGCAGTATATGATCTGTTGTTTTTGATCAGATCGACTTGATTTCTTCCAGATGGTGTTTTTTAACTACTGCCGAATTTCGAATTAAATTTTATCAAAATTGGATAACTATATAATTTATCTGCCATAGGAGAGATCGAAAAATATATATATAAATAATGAAAAAAATGACAACGTCCTTGCTTTTTAGCCCACGACCATGCTTTTAGAACATCAAGTTTTTTAAATACGTTTGAATCGAGAAAAAGATTTTATAAAAATCTGACATCTACATATATCATTTAGCTACCATAGGAAAAAGAGCAAATTTTTTGAAATACATAGTTTCTAACGACTCTTTAATTTCGATTTAAAATTCATAAAAATCGGACGACTATATATAATAATATAGCTTTCATATGAACCATCGTCGAACTACTATATACAACAAGATAAGTAATGATTCTATGTTCTTTTTAGCAGATCTTCCATAAAATAAAACTGACATTTGTATCGAATATGAGTTTCTTATCGAAGTACCAGCCACCCCTCAGCAAATACTCTCCAGATGGAAAGGGTAGAATTAATCGTTCCGGTTTGAGATAAAAATCTTTGATGATTTGATGACCCTGTGGTGTGGATATTATTGCCATTAATAATTCTTGCAATTATTGTAAATAAATTTGTTATTATTACCATGAAGGGACAGGTGTGATTTATGTTCGAGAATTCCTTGAAGATATTGTAGATGATGTTTATGAATGGATCATAGTGCCTCTTTAAGAACCTGCACGCGTCAACTGTGGATTCCAATACCCAAGGCTTAAAACCGTTGGCCTTTTTATAGACTTTTGCGTGAATTTGAATGTTGTAAGACCGATGCAGAATAGTTGCATTCATATTGAGCAGAACCCTGTCCCGACTGACGGCCTTCAGACGGTAATGGTTGAAAACTAACCACGATTCGTTGTAACTCTTGCACTGAAAATTCGTAAAGTTAAAAACAACTGCATCTTGTAGCGATTATAGCATTTGTAGTAAAAATTCAATCACTTTTTGTTCTGTTCACTCACATCCAATGCAAAGTTAAAGGCAAGAACTGCTCCAGAGATAAGAACGTATTTAGACCACTCCTCTACAAAAAATGCTGGATTATTGAAAAGTGGGATAAACTCACCTGTTTTGTGATCAAAACAATTTCCGCATGAAAGATGCCTAAAATTCGTTGTTATTTTGCTACGAGATTAAGATCTAATAAAATTCATTTCGTTTGATATTTAGTCCATATTTGTATTTATATTTTCTTATTTTATCTTCTCTTTAAAACTAGCTCGGGTTTTCGAAGTGAGAGGTTGTACGCGGACGATTTTTTTTCAAAACGTTAACCCTTGAGTGCTTTTGAAAAATACTTGTTGCAATTAATGCAGCAAGCACATACAAGGCGTAACATATAACATTTCAGAAAAATATTTTGAAAGAAGAGCAATATGGGAGCGAGTCCTGAAGGGCAGCTTTGGGTAAAAACCAAAAAATTGGGGTTATTCTACCATGATAGTTATTCTACCATGGCTTAGATGGTCCCCATACAAACTTATATGACACATATTTTGGCCGCTTTTAAAACCGCTTATACGAGCGAAATTTTTAACAATTCAGCCGGATACACCGAAATAATGCCAACAAATTGATGTATTTATTAGTGATCGGCACGACACGAAGGTTATTCCACTCTCACCACTCTTATAAACACGACTACTCGCATCTGCAAATACGGAAACTTTGATACTGAAATGTTCAAAATGCACATTAAGTTCATCTGTACGCAGCTTACTTGTTTTATTTTAATAAAAATGTGAAAATAATTATAAAATCTTCATGCGAATACACTTTTGTGACATATTGTACTTTGTTTAAACATTCCATCAAACCGATATTACTTGATATACTACCAATACAAAAAACGGATATGGATATTAAAAAGACTGTAATACTGCATAAAACGGAAATTGTATTCTATGTTCTTTTTAAAAGATCTTCCATAAAAATAAAAGTTACATTGGTACCAAATATAAGTTTCTTATCAAAATTCCAGCGACCCGTCAGCAAATACTCTCCAGATGGAATGGGTAGAATTATTAACTCCGGATTCACATACAAATCTTTGATGACTTGATGCCCCTGTGATGTGTGTTATTGCCAAACAAGAATGGAAGCTAGCTTCGGCAAGCCGAAGCTTATGTATGTATATACCCTTGCAGTCATCAAATATGTCGAACGAAATATATAGAGACTAAACCACTTTGAAGCTAGGCCGATTTTTCTGTGAAGTTTCTATATTCTCGACGATTGTTGATATGAAAGCCATATGATATTCTCGATTCAAGGGTATTAAAAAAACTCGATGTTCTAAAAATCGTGCTCGTAGGATAAAAAACAACGGAGCGTAAATTCCTTTTTTTGCTTATGGGAGCTATCCGATATAGTCGCCCGATCCGGTTTGTTTCCACTTATATACTGCGTGCTGTATTTGTTGCTTCACAACTTTTGGTAAAGTTTCAGCCAAATAGCATTAAAACTTAAAGACTAGTTAACATAGAAACAGACGGGAGGACATGAGGATAGTCGGATAGACATACAGTCGTATTTCGGTTCAGATCGTGATGCTGATCAAGATTATATGTATATATTATATGTACATAATGGGGTCTGAGGTGTCTCCTTCACTGCGTTGTAAACTTCTGACCGAAATAATAATACCCTTTGCTCTGCAAGGGTATAATTAATATAAATAAATTCGTTATACTAACCACGTAGGGACGATGTGATTAATGTTTGAGAATTCTTTGAAGATGTTGTAGACGATTTTTAAGTATGGATCATAACGCCTCTTCATAAACCTGCATGGGTCAATAGTCGTCTCCAGTAGCCATGGCTTGAAACCATTGGCCCTTTTATAGAGTTTTACGTGAAGTGTACCGTTGTAAGCCGGATGCAGAATAGTTGCATTCAAATTGAGCAAAACCCTGTCCCGACTGACGGCTTTCAGACGGTAATAGTTGAAAACGAACCACGATTCGTTGTAACTCTTGCACTGGAAATTCGTAAACTTGAAAACAACTGCATCCTGTAACGAATAATGCATTTCTATTCACAAGCCAATCACTTTATGTTTTGTTCACTCACATCCACTGCAATGTTAAAGACAAAAACTGCCCCAAAGAGAAGAACGTATTTAGACCACATTTCTCCTATACTAAAACGCTAGTTTACTGAAAAGTGATATGAACTCACCTGTTTGCTGATCAAAATAATTTCCGCATGAAAAATTCACTAAATTCGTTGTTATTTTGCTACGAGATTAAGATCTTATAAAATTAATTTCAAATAATTGCCTTGTTAGATATTTTCGCATTCATATAGGTATTTATCTTTTTTGATTTAATCTTCCGTTTAAAATTTGCTAATCAATATGTATTTATACTCTTCGGAAGGCCACTGTACTCTAAAATTCGATGCCTTAAATTGAAATTTGACATTAAGGAAGTCCCTCCCAATCTCTGTGTTCCCTTCTTGTTTGCTCTCATAATATAACAAGAAAGGAAGCTTGCTTCGGCAAGCCGAAGCTTATATACCCTTGCAGTCATAAAATATGTCGAACAAAATGCATAAAGGCTAAACAACATCGAAGCTATAACGATTTTTCTATTAATTTTCCATATTTTCGACTATAGATCATATGGGAGCCATATGATATAGTTGTCCGTAATTCAAGAGTCGAAAGAAATCTCTATATTCCAAAAATCATACTTGTCTGATGAAAAACCACGATGTTATAATTTTAGTTCCGTTATTTCTATATAGATTTTTCGATCTTTCCTATGACAGCTATAGACTATAGTGGTCCGATTTTTATGAAAGTTTTTTCTCAATATAAGAGTTGTTAAAAAACTTGATATTCCAAAAATCATGCTCATGGGATAAAAAACCACGATGTTATCAATTTATTTCCATTAATTCTATATATATTTTTTGATCGAGTTATCCGATTTTGATAAAATTTAATCCGAAATTCAATAGTAGTTAGAAAACGCCATCTGGAAGAATTCAAGTCGATCTGATCAAAAACAACGGCCTGAGAATTTTTTATTTCATTCTCTCGTATTGGAGCTATCCGATATAGTCGGCCGATCCGGCTCGTTCCGACTTATATACTGCGTGCAATAACTACACACCTTTTGGGAAAGTTTCAGCAAGATAGCTTTAAAACTGAGAGACTAGTTTGAAGAGAAACAGACAGACGGACAGACGGTCAGACGGCCAGACGGACAGACGTACAGACGTATTCTGATTCTACTCGTGATGCTGATCAAGAATATATATACTTTATGGGGTCTGAGGTGTCTGCTTCACTGCATTCCCTTTTCTCTGCAAGGATATAAAAAAAGGTTTATCATAACTTTTAAGGCTTAAGGTATTTTTGGTTCATCTAGAAGAGAATTTTATCCTGAATGCAATACTTTTTGTTTTGTTTCGATTGGACGTTAAGTTTTTTTTTCTATATTTCCCGCCAATTAGGAGAACTCGAAAAAACTACATATTTCACTATTTCTTCTGTAACTCCGAAAATAATTTGTAGGGGAATGTTGTCAGGGTTGGACCGTTGTCAGGCTTGGGCCATCTCAATAATTTGGATATTCGTACTAGTGCGTGTCAATAAACTTCTATCGGTCACAAGAAACTTTCCAAGTGACTACTCATTTCGGGATTACTTTTTTTCTACGTTTTGTTGATATGTCAAGGAAAAGTGTTCGGAAAAGTTTTCCTAACCTGGCCAAAAAGGTGTCATAACTCAAAATTGCAACATGTCATCCGCAAGTTGAGCATAAAAATACGTAATATAGTTGTTATATTACAAAACACTAAGATATATTTACATTGGCAGATATAGTTTGGATATGTCATACCATAATAGATTAATAACGCATGTCGTCAGGGTTTGGATTGGGCCGTCATAATTTTTACTCTTTATTCTTATATTTTCGATTTTTGTTGTAATATTTCAGTCTTTTGTAGCAAAAATATGCAAAAGAGTGAATTTTGAATGAGACAAAGAAATTATTTCTAACTTTTATTCGACAAAAACAACGAGCAAAAAGAACAACTTTTGCACCGAAAGCATGCACCAAAAAATACCAGCGAATCGTGGTCGTCCCCCAAAGAAAGTGCAGAATAAACTCTCTTCTGATGAAGATGAAGACATCGATTTCTGCATTATTTGTTTGGAAACTATGCCACGGTATACAAATCGCAACAACTCTGTTGCGTACATTGAATGCAAGAGAGAAGTTCACCTGAAGTGCGCAAAAATGCGAATTTACTGAATGAGCAAAATAATGTTAGATTTTCCTGAATTCAATTTTATTCCACCACGTTACGATATTGTCATCGATTTTCTGAAGATGGCCCAACCCTGACATTTTTTTTTTTTTCAAACGCCTATAACTTTTTTTGCTTTTGTTTTTTAATTCTCTATTTTTGGTGAACACTTTTTCTTGCTTGTACCTTTCCAAATATGTAAAAACTTATTCTAAATTGTCAATCGTTCAGTACTTATGGGCATAGGTCAAAATATGGCCCAACCCTGACAACATTCCCCTATTTCTTTCTGGAATTTTTGAGCACATTTTTCGAAGCCCTAAAACCAGGATCCTTTTTTTCGATATTTATTATTGTCGCCGGAATCGTTCAGGACCATCTGAGCATAACCGGGCGTTTAGAAGATGGGGTAGGTGTGGTACATATGGGATATGGACCTGGGCTATGGTATATACAAATATTTACAACTATTTACAATAATTTACAATTATTTACATATCTTTACAAAAATTAGTGTACAACACGGGAAGACAAATCGCTGGGGTGGAATCTCTTCAAACGTCTAAGAGTTTGCGGGTCGACCAGCCTGCTAGCCAGTGGATTAAAACCAGGATCCTTCTAAATTTTTTCTTCGTCTTTCTTGCGCTAAAAAGTATGCTTTGAAATCGTGTTTAACTATTTTGTTGCTTTTAAATAATTATAAAGCGGTACTTTCTTTGTAGTTTCGGATAACTTATTAGTTGCTCCTAGAAGCACTATATAGACCGCTGAAAAGGGATCCGCACCAGAGAAGAAACGAAGGCGTGTTTTAGCTTATAGTTAGTGTTTATTTAGTAAAATTTACAGGGGCTGCTGTGCTGGGCGTTGCTGATGACGACGCACGGGCCGTGCTGCACCTTCACGGAGCTCTCGCTGCGCCAGTCGCACTCGATGGGCACGAACTGGCCCTTCCGCATCACGGTCTTGGGCTTGGTTATGCCGTAGCAGGCGTACTGGAAGACGCTCCTCGAGATGGGCAGGCACTGCTCGTAGATCTCGACGATGTCCGCGTGCATGCTGTCCACGGAGAAGTCCTGCCCGCAGCGCAGCTTCTGGTGGATGTGCAGCTTGCTGCTCCGCGAGAACTGGCTGCGGCACCTCCGGCAGTGCAGCTCCTTCGCGGGCGAGCTGCAGGAGTCCCTCGACGGACTGACCGACTTGACGGGGGTGGAGAGCTCGTGCAGCCGTCGGAACTGGCCCATGATGTTGTTCAGAATGAGGAAGTTCTTGTTGGGCAGCTGCTGCAGGGTCTCGCTCACGTGGTAGGGCACCACGTACAGCTCCTTGGTGGTCTTGCACTGCTGGAGACCGTACAGGTTCACCCGCATGTTGGGCGGGAAGTAGCCGTTGCACTCGCGGAAGTGCTTCAGGTAGGCGGAGCGCAGGCTGGCCAGCTCCGCCTCGCTGGTGGAGGAGGCCGCGGGGGTGGCCAGGCCCTCCTCCTGCTGCAGCTGCAGGGGCAGTGCGAAGAAGGGAGCTTCTCCCTGGCCTTCCGCGTCCACTCGAATCCGCTTCACCTGGACACGCAGCCTGGTGATGCTGCACTCGGCCATCCCGTACTCGCTGCTGCAGTTGAGGTAGTTCTCGATCCGCTGCATCAGCATCTCGTAGACCACGCCCACGCACTCGTCCACGTCGAAGTGGTGGTCCACCCGGAGGGAGCCGCTCTGGAAGATCAGCACCTGGTCCATGGCGTTCACGTAGCAGGCCAGGCTGAACTCCACCGCCACGGTGCTGTTCTGGAACATCCAGCGGAGCAGCTCGGGCACTCCCCTGGCACAGGTCTCGCCCACGAAGTGGTCCAGCTTGTCCTTGGAGCTCTCGTCGCAGAAGAAGAACGTCTCGATCTGGCGGGCCTCGATGATGTCCAGGACCGCCTGCTGCTGCTTGGTGAGCTGCAGGCCCTGGGAGGCCTCTCCTCCGCGGAGCCAGTGCTGGGAGGGCGGCTCGTCCGCGTCGATGCAGCTGTAGCAGGTGGCGCACTCGTGCAACTGCCCCTGGGCGAACCACTGGTGGTGGAAGGTCTGCGTCGTCTCCTCGTTCGAGAACACGAAGCTGGAGATGGGCTCGTCGTCGAACATGGCTATGGAGATTTCGAGTGGCTTATGTGACTTTTCAAACTGAAGATGGTGCGACTCTTGCGATTTGCAAAGCTCTCAAAGTGGTTGCTTCAAATGAATGTTAGCAGTTCTTCCAATAATTAGGAATAGTAAGATCACTTCAAAATCTGTTGCAATTACTCAGATGTGTCTAGGACTGGATTCCACTGATGACTGATAGCTTTCCCTTCTTCAGACTGGCTTATATACAATCCAAGGGTAAAGGGTAACAGGTAGTCGGTGCCGCAGGTCGAAGTATTTTAGCATCTGTCAGTGGGATTTACCAGGTACCTAATCCCAGGTCGATTTGCAGGCTTTTAGGGAGTGCTGATTATCGGCAACGAGACATCTGCATGATCATAAAGTTATAAAAATCCTAATTTCCCTACTTCATACATTGGCTTAAGTTTTGCTAAATAAGTAGGTAAGCTGTCTTAATAATTCTTAATTTTGCTTCGTTTTTAAAAAGATATATCCTCAACGAATTAGCCAAATAATTTACATAGTTTTATAATAATCAGTATAGCAGTTGTTTTGCATTTTTGTGTTTTTACTAGGCAACGTATCTTATATTTGTTTAAATTAATCAGTTTAACAAATGAGAATATCGTAAAACTATAAACCCAAATCCAACCAAGAACTTACAAGTTGACAATAAATGTAAAATGTATGAACCAGTCTTATCAAAAGAGAGAAGATTTAACAAAAGTTTTCGGAGAATTTTGGGATTATCCTGCAGATTTTTATTAAAGATTTACAGAAGTAAAGGAGAAATGTTAAAAATTCGCAACAATAGAAAGGGAAAAAACGCTTTCAGCGAATCACCCACACATCGCACCACAAAGCATTTATTGCGGTTTTATTCGCGTGGCAGAAAGAAGAAAAAACTGAAAATAGCAGACGGATGGATAAAAAAGCCAAAACATGCGACTATTCCTCTTTTGGCCACTTGCTAATTAGCCAGCAGCGTTGACGGAGGAAATGAAAATGTAGGAAAAAAGTTAATCAAATATTATTGGACATTAGCATTTGATTTAAACTTAAAGAACATTCCTTAAAGCATGACAATTTTGTACCATGGCATTTTTCTGGCAAATTAAGAATCTGATTTATTGGTAGCAAATAAGAAATTTTTAAGTTAGGAGATGAAATCGAAATAAGCTGGAAAACTTATTACAAATAGAATAAATTTCTTGTTAATTCTTGCTTATATCAAGCTTTAGTATTCTAAAGCGTTGGCTTTTCTAAAATATATTTGGTTTGGTGATAAGTTGGCTTTCTGTGGTTTCAGTTTGGTATAGGAAGTGCGTATGGATGTCTTTAGTTAAATTCGTTAATTCATTTTAAAATCGAGGGGTCAATAATCTAACGAGATGTATATGAAACCGCAAAATTGTTTTCGTGGAAGCAAAAGTGATTTTATATTCGGGGCAGCAAGCAAGCACATTCGCCCGGGGACAAACTCAAGTGTCACAACACGTAAGTCAACACGTGGAAATTGGATTATTAGAGCGGCGCGTGTGTACACATGGCACAATGGCAGACGAGGGATCCGGCAAATTGGACTGCAAGTGCTCCAAGACGACGACCAATGTCGATTGGGCAACCAACGAGGCACAAAACAAGCATTCTAGGAATGCGGGTCCATTTGAAATTCAACAGGGAGCCACAAGTCCAGGCGAAGCCGCTTTGGAATGCGCTTTAAGGAGCATCCATAATGCAGTGAGCTGAACAACAAGCCGAACAACTAAAGTGTCATTGAGAGTACTGGAGTTTATGCATTGGATAAGTAATAAGTATTATTTATTATATATTAAAGATTATTTGCTATTTAATTTATTTAAAAAAGAAGAACACAAGGAGGAAGAGCTTACCCATTGTACCAGTTTTTAATGTTGGTATAAATCAATTAAATAGCGAATTAAAGGCAAATTCCATTTGCATCAGAAAGTTGCTGAACCTATACAAAATAGGAAAATTGTATTACCAAGTTTTCAGGGTATTTGAAATCATGTAGCAGCCATAAAAACCTGCAAAACCGAATTTCGGCTAGACATTGGTCATTGCTTTGATTGCCGAGACAGCAAGTGCAGAATATGGCAGAAGCAAGCATCCACTGCCTTCGAGCTTTAAGTTTAAAGCCATTTCTCAAAGTGCCGAGCCTGTCAGATCGCATATCGCAAATCGATTTTTCTTTCTCGGTTATGTTTTGGTTATAAATTACAAAGTGAAATGACATGTCGTCCCTCGTCAACATCGCCGGCTCTTAATAAATCCTGCTCCATATACCCGTGGCCGTTTTTTGCACTCTATTCTGGACTCATTATAGCCGTCACGCCCTAATCCGAAAACGTTGTAATAATAATTCAAATACGACGGCACATTAGTTCCGCCGTTTTGAGCAGCCAGTGTACAATAAACGATGGACCAACAGGTTGTGACAAGTGGATTTTGCAGAGACTGGAGGCAAGTACAACTCGTAGACACTTCATAAATGTCGGCCAAAGATATTAAATGGGTGTTTCAATCGATATGGGTAAATATGAAAAAATTGCCAGATTATTTTAAAGAAAATAATTCACTTCTTTGTACAAATTAAAATAAGATTCTATTACCAATATTATATAAATTAAAGTAAATACATTATATTTTCTGAGTGTTATCTATTTGGCCTTAATGAACTTATATATTTCATATACTAATGTTATTCCAATAATAAAAACTTAAAAATAGAACCCTTTTACAATTGCTGTATATTACAGCCTTTTAATAAATACAATTTACTTGTTTTAAGATAGGTTATTATTCTAAGTGCGCGGCAGTTTGATTGATGGTCCATGAGAAGATGGAGAAAGACCTACTCCGAATCGGAAGACATGAGCCCATAAAACGTTTTCGGCAAAATGCTCATCAAGTAGCCATACAATAAATAATAGAACAGTCAGAAACATTTGATGGAGAACCATAAAAGTGCAGCTCACCAAAAAGAATCCGCAGACTACAGCAGCTCATTCAAATTGTAGCCATGTACACATAAAGAGCAGACAAAAGACATAAAGTAAATGAAGCGCCTCACGAAATGCGGACTTCAGATGAGTTGTGGCAACTCCCATACGATGTGACGAGTATTTCCATTCTATTTCCATTTTCACGTTCTCGTAACTCAGTTGCCATTCATGGACGAAGATAGAGCCGCAGTCGAAATCGAAATCAATTGTTACACACAATGAAAACATCTCCCCAACACGATAAATGCTTGCCACAAACACTGGGATATTTGCAGCATTGTTCATTTCAAATGGAATCTATGTTCCGAATTTGTTGAATAAATTAAGGGAAATACAAAATAAAATTTAAATTTAACATATACATAGATTTTTTATCGTCTCAATACCTAAATTTATTATTATTATTCAATAGTTTTACAACAATATTAGTTCACATTTTTCTGAGTGTTAATACGAAAAGGGAAAGAGTCTCCCCAAAAGAGCTGCTCCTGCTTTAATATAAAAATAATCATTTAAGCAAGATGCCAGGACCCAATCTTGCAGGTTCTTCTGGAACAATGAACAGTTGGTAAAGTGAATCGTATGTGAACCTTATGGCTGACAGACAAGTTGTAAGATAAGGTTAAACATCAATCGCGACTTGGCAGACTTGGCAATGCTTAACCTTGAATTGAAAAGTGTTATTATGTCTGGATTGCAGGGGGTGTATGACATGACAATTGTTTGGGCTTTGTGTATTTAACAAGTAAATATTCGACTTACAACCCCAGCTTATTAGATTTCAATTTGTAATTTATTCATTCAGTAAAGAATATTAAACAAATGACTTATTCCTTGTTTAGATAAGCATGTTGCTTAACCATGTTAATATAACCTTTTGTAAAAGAAAACTTTTTATATATATAAAATAAACTTTTCATAAAATCGTTATTTGAAATAGTTTCTATGGCATTGTGTTTAAGCTTACTAACATAAAATAAATGTTTTATTTTAATTGAAAACATGAATTGAGATTGTAATTGAAAAATGAAATGTCTTCGTTTTAACAACGAAAAATGTGTACATGCTTGAATTGTTTGGAAAACTTTAATTCAACGGCTTTTTGCTGTAAAATTGCAAGCTTTTTTTCACAAAACAAAAAACAAATCGACAATACGTCCATCCGACCATCGGAATCCTTCAGCTTCAGTGCCATGAATACATATTGCGTGCAGTGACGCAAATCAGCGAATGGAACCCAGTATGGCATTCATAAAGGAGTGCCAATTTTAATACCCGTATGAATGAAAACGTCCAAAATAAAAACCAAGGGCACCGGCGCAGAAAACCAACCAGGCAATCAAAGAACAGAGATGAAAATTAATTTTTGCCAAGCTTTGGCTATGATTAAGCCTCGGATTACAACGTATGTATATAAAGGGAATGCCTGAAAGGAGAAATATCTCGAAAACAAGCCAACAAACAAATGCCAAATTGACGACTCGTCAAATGGATGTTATTAGCATAAATTGCTTTTTAATGCCGGAGATGTTTCGGCACAAGTATTTTAATCCGCATACGATTATCACATACTTGAACATTTGATTTTCCATGGTCTGGCAGTCAAACTTCAGCTCATCTCGGTTCAGACAGGACCCCTAAGTGATTTGTTTATTCAAGAGGAATTGATTGCAACGAAAACCGAGACAGACAAAGACAAACGCAACCAGCTGTGGCTCGAGAATCCGATTTTGAAGCAGAATCAGACAGATTCAGGGGTTGTATGGTATAAATTCCATCCGTCCGCTCGACAGACTAAACTCGTGTAAATTTGCCATTTTTATGGTTTAAGTGTCGCGTCATTATAATTCAGTGGAACATGTATGGCACTCGAGTCTCGAGCCATTCGAATTGTTTATGGCAGACACATTAAAAGTTTGTACGGCTGCACCACATGCTTGCCTTAGAAATATATCACCCGAAAGGCAATCAAGACAAATCGCATAAAAAACGACTATATAAAATACGAGAAAGCTGATTAAATCGAAACAAAATTCACACACTCTTTAAACAGAGTCAAAATTTCAACTCCGTTTCATTATATTTCACCATTAGAAATGAGGTGTAATCTTTATTTATCGAAGCAAAAAATGTATTAAGTTTGCAAAATGCATACAGGCACAATGTAAAGTTTAGGTGATCACCTTTTTAGCAACTGTAAAAAAAAAAAACTTTAGTATTATATATTATTAAATTATATAAATACATGCACTTACGCCACATATTTCCCTTTATGAGAGGACACTGACGATGATATGGATTTCCTCTGGCATCGATCCAAAATAACATAGAACCTTTTCGGGGTTTGAATTTAACTCCAAGAGAAGGGAAGACAGTTTCTCCGCCTTTTTCAGCATTGCTTAACTAAAGTATATTACAGATTTAATTAAAGAAAATATTACAAATAATTAACAAATTTTCTTACATATATCAACACGTGACCTTTGAAGTCTACTTTGGAATCAGGAGTGTCATCGGGATTGTAATTTCCAGCCAAACCATAGTTGATGACTTCAAGAAAATTATTTGAATTCCTGGGAATTCCAGTTATGTCGCTGATTAGATTATTAATTTTCCGAACAATATTATTTGAAGAGCTTGAGAGATCAGCTACCTTACAATTGCAATTCTGTGACATATCTTCAATGCGTTGCAGTTTTGGTCTCGACACATTCTTTAATATTTCTATATCCTGCTCAGAGACAAAGTCGAGAAATATATCGATATTTGGATCCATTGACAACTCTTCAATTTTTAAAGGTGCCAATTTTAAAAATGGTCCCCTATTAAGATATTGGCAAATAAGATTGCTCGATTTTTTTTTATAATGCTTGGAGCAAATTTTCTTTGCGAGCTTGTAGTCTTTTTCCTTTTTTATTAGACGGGGCGGATTTGCTTCCAAATACTCCAATTTTGTCAGTTGCTTTGCTATATACGTGTCATTCGGAAGAATTGAAAGCAATTCATTTGCATATCGCTTAGCTTGCGAATAGTCACCTGGGATTAAAATATTATTATTATATTAGTTAATGGATAAATCTATAGAAGGGAAGATTTTGTAATATAAGTTAGATTAATGTTCCAAAGTTTCGTTTAACATATTTTACAAACTACTCGTTTGTAAATATTTAGCATCTACATCATTCAAATTAATATTTATTTCAATATATTAACTCACCCAACCCCTTGTTCGCGTCCATCATGTATTCCAATAAGTGGGTATATTTCCAAACCTTTATTTTGAGATCCTCGGCATTGGGATCATAATGATACAGAGCCAATCTAAACCAATGCTCCGATTGATCGTAATGTTTTAAGTATTGATACATTAATCCGAGAATTAAACACTCATCTATACCCCAACTCTTCGTTCTGGAGATATGTTTTAAAGAATTTGTATCCAAATAATGTGAAGATTGAATGTCTTACTTGTAATCTTTGCCATCCAATATCCCATGGACCATGTCAGTGGAGTCCAAGTTATATATTGTCTGAAGCCTATAGATAGCTCCCAAAGATTCTTCAAAGTCCGTAGAGGTTGGTTGCTCTCTTAATAAATCCTGAGAAACCGAAATCTCTTCTTCACCCAGTTTTTTCTTTAATAAATTTAAATATTGCGGCCAATCCTTGCTAATGTGCCGGAAAACTTTATAGCCAAAGAACAAATTTCGTTGAAACAGCACTGATGATTCTAACAGGTTTTCTGAGTGCTTAATCGCTCTAGTAACAAAAAGATAAATATAGAATTTACAATTTATTACTACTTACTTTTTTAATTTTTTTCAAGTGCGCCTCCAAAGCATCTTTATAGCTCTGAAGATTTTTCACATGGATTTCTTTTGACTTCAGCAATGACAACTGGGATTCCGAAGATATTGCAAAGTCATACGACTCAGGAACGGAAGCTTCTTGGCTTTTAGCTTGCAAAGCAATGCAGGCAGTTAAAGCCGCGAAGAAAAGCCACTTCTTGACCATGACATCAACCTATTTAAAATGAACCGATGATTTAAGATCTTTATCTTAATGCACTTAAAAATATGTATTAGATATGGTAGTTTTTATACGCTTCATGCTCTAATTTGCAAAAAGTTTGTCAAAAAAATAGAAGAATATGATTTGTATCAAAGATTCTTTATAAATAAAATAAAAAGATTCTTCAAAAACATTTACGTCACTACAAATTGTCTTTAATTATTATACATTTTTTATTCTCACTCCTTAAAAAACTTGTTCTTAATTTTAGTTTGATTAAATTCGGGTGGTGCGTTTATCTTCAGTGGGCAAGGACGAATAAACATTTGGGCGTGTTCCCTAAACCATTTGGTTGCAACTGAAAAACAAGAATATTAATACTTAAATCTCTTTTTGAATTTCAAATGACCTACTCCACTTATCGCCCATTAAAATGGGGCAAGATATATGAACTGACCGCCAATCGCTGGTTCCATTCAATACCAGATTGTTCCATACCAAAAGCGATCCTTTTTGAGTACGAACTCGTATCCCTACAAAAGGAAATACTGTTTCACCGCCCTGCTCCACATCGCTGAGCTGAAGCACAAAATCGTTTAAAACTGAAACTAATTATTTCACAAAATCTTACGTAATACAATGCTGTTATAATGCGATGGCCCGATTTCCAAAATGAACCACCAGAGGATCTTGAAGCGTCCTCGTGCTCATACAAATGTCCTCCAATGCCATAATTACTAATCTGCAACTCCTCGGACTCTGCCATACTCAATCCGGTGGCATCCATAATACGTTGATTCAAGTTCTTCATCAATTTATGATCGACATTATCCTTTAAGCGCATTGTTTTGCATGTGCGGAGGTTCGAGAAATCTACAACTACCTTTCCTTCGTAGGTGTAGAACTTGCTGCGTGATAAATGGGGATTTGAGAGGTTCTTGAGCAATGCGATTTCCCTATCATCGATGAGGTTGTGGTAAATGTTGATGGATGGATCGAGGCTTAGCTCCTCCGCTTTAATGGGAGCCAACTGTAGAAACGGCGTTGATCGGAGAAGACGACAATGCAAATTACTCTTAGCTGGATATTCCATTAGACAAGCAGGCTTAAAAAGAAATTGATTTGGCTCTTCCGGCTTAAGAACCTCTGGTTTTGAACTCAAGTTTTTGAGCCTTGAAACTTGATCCTGCCAATGAGTTTGGCTATAGCCTAAAGATAATCCTTTTTTGGCGTATTGCAAAGCATCCTTATAACGACCTGAGCTCTGAGTCGCCTTCATTAGCAGTCTCAAAATAATATCATCGGACCATCCAAATATCTTAAGCGCTCTTGATTTTGGCTCACTGTAGTATTTTTGCAAAGCCAATTTAAACCAACGTTCGGCACTCTGGAATTTCTTTTCCAAATCATCACCATAGCCTATAGTGAGGCAATCCAAATAGCTCAGTTTTTTGCATCTACAGTAGAGAATAGATAAATAGTATAATATAATAATAATTACAATTAGAGTTACATCACAATTACCTATATTGTTTTCCTCTTAGGAAACCAACAGACATTTCAGCGGGATCAAGTTTGTAGGTTGATTGCAGCCTATTCATGCCAAAAATAGCCTCTTCATAGTCAATTTTCGTTGGCATATTGTGTCGCAGACCTTGTAAATGGGCAATTTCCTTTAAGCCTTGTTTTTCCTTAAGAACATTAAGCCATTTTTTACAGTCGAGATACAACATACGATGTACTTTGAAAGTGAGGAATGGATTGACAAAACGTTTGGACTTTAAAAGCTCCTCCAATTGATTAATGAACCTAAAATAGTATTACTTTAGGCAATCTGGATTTGGAAAAATAGAAATATCTTACAGTTTGATCTGCGATAGACGATTTGTTAAAACCAGAACATAGTTTCGCAGAGTTTTAACCGCCTGTTCCTTCAACGCCAACAAAGGCATTATATGTGACTGGGATAATGCATAGCCAAATGACTGCGTCGAAGGCTCTAATGATTCCTCATGACTTAATCCAATTCCACTTATTAACAATATACACACACAAATCTGAAACATGGCAGTGGCTCAATTAAACTTAATGTAAGAAATAATAATTTAATCTGAAAAGCGTTTTTAAATACCGTATCCCAATGCATTAGTTGCAGCAAACTAGTTAAAAAAATATTTATATGCCATAAAAATGCAAGGTTAAATATAACCATTTTAATAATAAAATTTTATATCTTCATTCCATTTATTGCCCCAAAAAAAGGTAATTGCAACATAACTATAATATTTAAGTTCATTATAAACCACAATTTTTTTATGCGACACTTCAAACTACTTTTTCTTCCAATATTTGTAAAAAAAATTTCATTTAATTTTCTTACACTAAATTAGACATAGCACTTGCTGTGACGAAATAATTAGTTAAGCCAGTAAATAAATTTTAAAGATTTATTAGGAACATATACGACTATTCTTGTTCAGTTGATAGTTGAATAGAAACAAAAGAAAGAATGTACTTTATTGTATTTACTTCCTTAACTTTATTAACCCTGCCAGGAGTACTTCTCAAATTGACAACTGATCCCGCCATGTCCATAGCTGGCATGAAATACCTTGTGGATATGGAGGGTTTATTCATCAACGAGCTAACGCACTACACAAAAGAATTAAAGGATAAAATCGATACGATAGAAAGGTGATAGGGTTAATTGTAAATATCTTTATTAATTAATTAAAATAATAATAATATATTTTAGTTTTCTGCACGATGTACAATCCAAACGAGAAATTTCAAGAAAAAACCCAGAGGAGTTTGTGGCTCATCCCCTCAACGGATTTTCCCTCATTCGGCGATTGCATGAGGATTGGACTCACATTGAACTCTTTATGGCCCAAGGTGTTGGACAGGAGAGCCTTAAAGCCATTCAAAAAGGTTTAGAAGAAGGACGACCCACTGATCAGGATCTGGATGATGCCATCGCCGGAATCAGGGCAATGTGCCGATTTTATAATCTTCAGCCCGATGATATCGCCAGGGGAATTTTCTTGGGCCAAGAATACAAGTGGGTAATAAAAGCATTAAAAAACTTGTTGATTCACTTCAAGAACTATATTCTGGATCAGTGCCAGTTTGACTGCACTAAATTGCCTTTCTTTGGCCAAAGCCTGTATCAATTATGAGGAAGGTAACGATGCCATAAACTGGTATAAAACTGCTGTAAGCCAATACGATGACGACCGAGATGGCCAAGTCTACAGGGATGTTTTCGACTTCAAGCTTCCTGATTTGTACGAAAATTATGTATCAACTTTGGTGTCGACAGGTAAATAGAAGTGGCTCTGCACTTGTTGCACAATTAATTTGTTAATTACTTTTAAATAGGTTACCGCCAAGCTGCCCTGAGTGTTATTCGGGATGTATCTGATTTAGATGCCACTCTTTGGTTACTTCACAAGAAAGTCTATGATGACGCGAAAATTGACATAGCGGATCCCACGGTAAGAATTAAAAACATGTAATACATAAGATATATATGTTTTCTTTACTAGTTTCTCGGAAAACCCTGGGTGGTTGGATCGCGTTGTCAAGGAAAATGGGACACCAAGAAATACTTTAGTTGCCATTATGAAAGTAAAACGACAGATTTTCTTAGGCTTGCCCCTCTAAAAGTGGAGGTTTTAAGCCTAGATCCTCACATTGCGATCTATCATGGTGTGATCTATGACAGCGAAATCTCGAGGGTGAAAAATGGATCACTTGCTTCTCTGAAGAGCCCTCCGCGATACATTAATGGTGATGACTATAACCTAAAGTTTTCGAGGGTCATCGAGGATCACAACAGTACGTTAAATCAAAGAGTTAAGGACATTACGGGAGAGGAAGTTAGGGAGGACAGCGATTTTGTCATATACAACTATGGTATAGGTGGGCATAGGAACATTCATATGGACAACTTACAAGCAATCGATCAAATGGTAAGCAAAATAATTAAAAAAAATGTATTTAGAAATTAAGAGTTTTAAATGTTTCAGGCAGAACTAGGCGATCGCCTAACAAGCGTTATGTTTTTTGTAAGTATAAGGATTTCGTTTTCTTTGCTTTTATTGTTTTAAATCATTATATTATCAGTGGAATTTTAAGTGTTTTGTCTCAAACTAATTTTTTAGTTAAGCGAAGTGAACCAAGGTGGTGCTATCGTTTTTCCCTATGCAAACTTGACTGTTTGGCCTCAAAAAGGAAGCGCTCTCGTTTGGAGAAATCTTAATTTTAAGATGCAATCCAACGAAGGACTTGTGCACCTTTCGTGTCCAGTTGTAGTTGGCTCAAAGTGGAGTAAGTTATAAGAATATACAAATTAAATAAATAATACAATGACAATTTTTATTTAAGCCCTCATCAAATGGCTGCACGAAAGACCTCAAATGTTTTCTAGACCTTGCGAAAAAGAGTATTCGGGCTTACAAACACATGAAAAAATGATTTAATAAGCGTAAATAAAATTCAATAATTTGTTTTTCCATGCTGTATTCAGTTTTGATATTATTACAAACCATTAAAAGTTGACAGACAATGGTGAAGGTTTCGGATTTTATTTTCTTATTGATTCTGGCGAAGCCCATTTTGTCAGAATCATTAAAAGAATTGATTGAGTTTTATCAAGGACATTACTACAGTGCCTCAGTTTTGGGACTGGTTGATCTTTTGAAGCTGGAGCAAGAATTTATGGAGAACTTTACGATCTATACTGATGCATTACAGGAGAAAGTGGACAATCTTAACAAGTTAGCTGCACCTTCAAAAACGGAATAATCGTATAATTAATTTTCTTAGCTACCTAGATGCTTTAAAACGTCCTAATCACACGACCCACAATGAGAGGGAGAAGTTCGTCTCGGATCCGCTAAATGCTTTTGGGCTAATTAGAAGACTAAATCAGGACTGGCCAAAATGGCAAAACTACGCACAGAAATCTGTCGGACTTGTACAAATAAACGCAATGGAGAAGATCCTGTCGAAAAAACCAAAGCTCTTCGACATGAACGAATCACTAAGATCCATGCATCGCATTGAGGTAACCTATGATCTTTCAGCAAAAGATATTGCAAGGGGAGTCCTTCAAAGCACACAATTCAAGTGAGTGTCAAAAGGAGTAAATGTAACAAGTTGAGATACTTACTTACTTACTTTTTAATCAGCTATACTCTTTCCGTTGGAGACTGTTTGGCATTGGCTAACCATACACTTGAAATCGGAAATTTAAACAGTTCACTTCAATGGTTTCAAGAGGCCGTAAAACAATTCCCAGATAATTATGAGGATATCAGCAGTTCATTAAAAGAAGACCAGTTGAAAGAGTTTGCTACAGTTGTAGCCACCCGCAGTAAGTTAATGAATAAAATAATTAAGAAGTACGTATTATGTTATTGGATTCTCCTTAATATTATTAACTATATCTTTCCCCTTCACAGGAATTCAAATGATGAATCAATCACTAGGTAATGAAACCCTTCATAAGTTGGTAAGAAACCAGTTGCAAAATCTTACCAAAAAAGATATGGAAAACTTTATAAGCTCAAAACTTGTACAATGGCATAGAGGAAGTGTCAGCAAGTTGGAAAACGCGAACACACAAACAACTGCCCACAATATTGGATGTCGAGGACTCTTTCCCAAGCGAAAAAATCTCGTCTGTCGATACAACTCAACCACAAACGCCTTTCTCAAATTGGCCCCCCTAAAAATGGAGGAAATAAGTCGAGACCCCTATATTGTAATGTACCACAAAGTGTTATCGGACAGAGAAATCGAGGAAATGAAAGGAGAAGTTAAGGAATGGTCGAATGGCTGGACTGGACTAGAAGAGCCCATGGAAATTGTGTCCCTTGTCTATTGGACAACGGACGAATCTAAATTCAGGGATCGGATCAATCAACGCATTTCAGACATGACAGGCTTCAAATTGGAGGAGTTCCCTGCCCTACAGTTGGCCAATTTTGGCATCGGTGGATACTTCAAGCCACATTACGACTATTTTACAGAGCGCCTAAGAACACTCGATGCCAACAACACCCTGGGAGATCGATTGGGAAGCCTATTATTTTATGTAAGAATTTAATCAACTTCTTCTATAACACTTGTTTCTATTAATTTGTAATAGGCTGGAGAAGTATCACAAGGTGGGCAAACCGTCTTTCCCGAAGTTGAGGTGGCTGTGGAGCCCAAAAAAGGCAACGCTCTCTTTTGGTTCAACGATTTCGACGATTCTTCGCCGGATCCGCGATCCTTGCATTCCGTGTGCCCTGTTATAATCGGTTCCAGATGGAGTGAGTACCTCCCGATGATAATAAGGAGACTCCGACTTATCAGTCTGCTTTCAGCGATTACCAAGTGGCTGCACCACGACCCCCAAGTATTTGTAAAACCCTGCAGTCCGAGGATTTTGAAGAGAAGCTCTTAGGGAGTAAAATATTCTTCATCTTAAAATAAATGCTTGCAAAGGTGAACTAATCAGTTAGTCATGCTCTGCTGCTCTAAAGAATTTATTTGTTTTTCACTGCTTCACGAGTTAGTCACAATGAAGGGTTTTCAGAGTTCGCTTATACTTGTATTATTGTGGGGACAAATTAATGCAAATGTTTTACAAAATAATATACACAATGAGAGCACAGTATTATATAGCTCTTCAGAAGCGGGACTATTAAAACTGTTGGAAATGGAGCAAAACTTTATGGAGAATATAAAGTCGTACACGAATAAAATGGCCGAGAAAGTGGAAAATCTGCAAGCGTAAGACATTTTTATTGAAGAACATACAGTCCCTAAATCCTGGTGTTATTTCACAGATACATTGCCTCGGTTGATTATGGGTTCAAAGAAAATCTACAAGATCGAGAAAAATATGTGAGTAATCCGTTGAATGCATTTAGTCTAGTAAGACGCACACATCAAGATTTACCAAAGTGGCATAATTACTCACAACAAATTATGGGAATCGGTAAGAATATTCAAGAGTATTTGAATTATACTTTAGATAGCTATGACAGAAATTAACTTAAGCTTATTTGATTTTATTAAGAGGAACTGTATGCCTTAGAAGAAATCGTAGCAAAGTCTCCGGATAAAGCGGACATGGAGTATATCTTAAATAAAATAAATGCTTTGGAAAATACTTACGATCTAGAGGCCACGGATTTAGCAAGAGGTCGTATACTGGACAAGCAAAAATTAGGTAGCTAAGAACAAATCTCACACATAACAAAACAATAAATGGTATTCTTTTTTAGTTCTGAGAAAATCGATGAATATGGTAACCAAGCCAAGGAAGCCAGGTCAAAAGAAATATTGACCAACAAATTTTAAACAGATTGCACAAGCCTTTTTGAAAAAGTTTCATCACAATTATGTAGTTAATACGCATATATTCTTAATAAAGCCGTTTTAGAATTTTTTAAGAGAGAACGTAAGCCAATAATGTATTGTGCGGGGTAAGGTATTTCACATATTTAATCGATTCGCCAAGCCTGACCAAAAAAAATCCAATTAGCTAAAAGAAGAAGTTTTATGGTTCGCACGATTGTGTTCTTTGTAGTCAAAATGAGACCTGGCCTGAGTTTACTTGCAGTTCTTCTCTGCTTAGGAAAAATTTCTGTAGCAGGCACTGAAGACCAACTCGAGGAAGAAAGCAAAGAAAGATATAGCTCATCTACAGTGGGACTTTTAAAGTTGCTGAAAGTGGAAGAAGACTTTGCCGATAACCTCGTAAACTATGGAGCCCAGCTAGGAAAGAAAGTTCAATCACTTCGAACGTAACACAACTATATTCGCTTAGTTTCTATTGTCGGTCCAACACAACTTGCTTTTAGTTTCCTATCCACAGTGAGTTTAAAATTAAATCGCAACTTCCTGGAGAGAGTGGAATATGTTTCCAACCCGTTGAACGCATTTTCCCTTTTGAGACGCACCCACGAAGATTTGCCAAAGTGGCACTCATATTTTAAAAAATCTTTGGGAAGTGGTAAGTGGTATTAAGATATAAATCCAATAACCTTTTACACGAAACATTTCCATATTCAAAATCAGAGGACGCAGCTGTACTGGACGACCTGGTTGAACAGGTACCAAGTAAATTAGACTTAATGTCAGCAGCACTGGGAATTCAACGTATAGAGAAGACCTATGACTTAAGAATCGACGATTTGGCACAAGGCCTTTTACAGGATAAGCAATACGAGTAAACTTTTTCTTAGACAATCAGAACGATAGTTTCAAGTGAATCCCTTCTGCAGAATTGGACTCTCCTTTCGCGATCTTGTAGCCTTGGGTCGTCTGATGTTCGAACAGCGCGATTATCAAGCAGCTGGAAAATGGTATCGTTTGGCTTGCAAACGCGAACCAGACGAACAGGATGACTTGATAAATGAGGTCCTGGGCAATCCTTCCGAGCACTTCCACCGCCAGTACATCAAAGCATTGTTCACATATGGTAATGTTTCTATTTGTGTAAAACCTTTCTCTTGTGGTTTACCTAATATAAAATTTCAGGAACTAGTTTGACAGATCCTTCGAAATCTACCGGAGAAGCTTTCTTTGCCGCGGAGAACTCTGTGGCAAGCGCCACTCAGGACAATATAACTTCCATACTATCCAGTCTAAAAGAAAACGATGCTGAGGTAGAAAGAGAGCTGTACCAGAAGAAAACACCACCTTCAATATTTGAAATTGGATGTCGAGGACAGTATCGCCCGAAGCAAAAACTTGTGTGTCGCTACAAATTCGGCACGACGCCTTTTCTGCGATTGGCCCCTCTGAAGTTCGAGGAAATCAGCTTGGACCCGTATATCGCCATGCATCACGAAGTTCTCTACGACTCTGACACCCGAGGTTTCAGAGAACAATCGGTGAATATGATGAACGGTTATGCAGACCATAGAGAAGACGGCACAGAAATCAGGGAAACCGTAGCTCGACTTTCCTGGTGGACAAACATATCCAAAACGCGAGAGCGCATAAATCAGCGCATTAAGGATATGACAGGACTGAATTTTTCGAAAACGGAAAAAATTCAGGTTGCCAATTACGGAGTGGGCACTTACTTCAAACCGCACTTCGACTACACCGCCGAGGGATTCGAAACTCCAGATGCTGCCGAGTTGGGCGATCGCTTGGCCAGCATTATTTTTTATGTAAGTAATATTAATATATTTTCAGAAAAAAATAATAATATAAATTTACAGGCTAGTGATGTCCCACAGGGCGGGGCCACTGTTTTCCCAAAAATAAATGTCACGGTCTTTCCACGAAAGGGAAGCAGTTTGTTCTGGTTCAATTTGTTCGACGATGGAAGGCCCGACATAAGAAGCCAACACTCAGTGTGTCCGGTAATCAACGGAGACAGATGGAGTAGGCTATATAAATTATTTCATTTTGAACTACATCTCAAATTGCTATTTTACAGCTCTCACCAAGTGGATCCATTTGTTTCCTCAAATGTTCACCAGGCCATGTGCAGCATAACACAACTATTGTCTATAATTTGAAGTGAAGAAGACTACCACTTCGAAAATATTTTAGTTTTAACCTTTTTAAAAAAAACTTAAAATTTACCCAAAAAATCATTTTTTTATATATCGACTTGTTTTCAATTACAATTTTTTGTGCATACCCAAACCAAATTATCTTTTATTTGTGTGAATGTGGTTATCTTATTATCGTAAAAAATGCACTTGGAAAATTTTCCATTCTTGCCTGAATGCATTTGAGATTTAAAATATAAAAATGGATTACTTATACCCTACTCTTAGAATTTTCAATAGGGTTTAAATTTTAAAAGCTTCACTTGAAAAATATTCTTAACTGCTTGTACAAAACTACTTTATTCTACACACTTAATTTTTGTTTACCCAAGTGCTCAATATTATTTAGATTCTAAAATTTATCAAAATAAAATCTGTTAAAAAGTAACCATATACAACCAACGATGTTGGCTCAAAAATGATGTGAACAATGTTGCAGTCGTAGCTAACTTCTGTAAAGATCGTTTAATTTTTTTAAAGATATTGTTGAAAAAATAAATTATAGACAATTTTCTATTCTATATTTTTTTTTTTGAGGAATTACTATTGAGACGGCTGTTACCAATACACCATGAAATTAGAGATTAGTTGATAAGCAAAAGCAAAAAGTTTTGTTTTAGTTAAACTAAGCCAAAATGCAGTGGTTTGTGTTTCATCTAGTCCTTTTATTTAATTATGTTCCGAGTTATTTTTGCAAAGAAAAAACAAAGAGCTTAGATGAAAAATTTCTATATAGCACATCTGTGATGAGCATGACAAAACTTTTGGATGTTGAAGAGTCTTTAAAAGACATTTTGGATGTGTACGTTCAGGAGATGCAGGCGAAGTTAGATATTATTAAATTGTAAGTTTTAATTAGCTAAGGAAACAAATTTCTTTCATAAATGAATGCTATTATTTCGCTTTATTTAAACTTGAGTTTTTGTTAAAGAAATAAATTTCAAGCGTAACTTCATTTTTTTAGGTATCAAGAGTCGTTAAAAAGAGAAAAGTTTGCCACGCTGGACGCAAAAGAGGAGTACGTGTCCAATCCTCTAAATGCATTTCCTCTGCTCAGGCGCCTCAACCAGGATTGGCCCAAGTGGCTTAGATATCTGAAACTGGCGACAGCTACTAGGAAAACCAAAGAAATGGAAGTGCACTTAAAATCTGCTCCCATTGAAGATGACCTCAATGTTGCTCTGAAGGGAATGACGCGAATTGAGCAGTTTTACGATCAACACGCAGGGAACTTAGCCAAGGGACTCCTATTGGGAAAGAAATTTAAGTGGGTCAACATTAACTAAATCTGCATTTAATCATTACATTACCAATTACGTTGTAGCTCCCAATTGACTTCTCTGGACTGTTTTGCATTAGCAAACTTTTACTACAACCAAACTCAATTTGCGGCATCCACACACTGGTATCGCATGGCCTTAAGACTTCACACGGCTCCCCAGGAAAAGATCTACGATAAAGTATTGGGCTTGAAGAGAAAAAGGATCTATAAAAAATATGCCAAGGCCATGCTCAAAGAATGTAAGTGTACAATTAGACTTAAATCACAAGGTAAGTTAGGTCAAAGATCAAAGTTAAGGTAAATTCATAAGCACATGCAAATAATTAAAAGTCTTATTTTAGCCCTTACTTTGGATAAAGCAAAACCCAATCCTATGATGGTTAGAGAATGGAATAGCTTGGCCAAAGAGGTCGTTCGAGAAGACAACTATAACAACATCAAACAGTATATTGACGAGTATCTATCAGGAGACGAGCAGATCTTTCAAGAAGAAGCCGCAACAAGAAAGACTAAGCCATCAAAGCTAAAACGCGCCTGCCGTGGAGATTGGCCAAAGAAATCCTCGCCAGAACTCATATGTCGTTATAATAGGGACACATCCGCATTCGTTAAGTTAGCACCGCTCAAATTGGAATTTCTGAGCATGAATCCTCTAATAGTTCTCTACCATGAGGTGCTCTACGAGCAGGAGTTCAAGTCACTGAAAGACATCGCCGTGTTTAATGGCACCATGACTGATGGTTGGACATACGTTAGCTTTGACAAAAAGGGAAACCCTAAGCCCCAGGATCGAGTGGTGAAAACAATGGCTTTTCAGGGCTCTACTGCCGCCGTTACCCGCAGCATCAATCGAAGGATAGCAGATATGAGTGGACTGGATATCCACGAGAACATGGCTCTTCACCTCACCAATTACGGATTGGGCGGCCATCTCGGAAAGCATGTCGACTACGTGGAGTTGGCCAAAAGACCGGTTTGTGATTGTTGCTAACAAATTTATACGTTCTTAATCTCTTTTCTCCAGGCAGACTTTTTTGCTGATATAGGTGGCGATCGAATCGCTACAGCAATGCTTTATGTAAGTGCACCCCAGCTATATGTAATTAAAAAACTTATATTATATTTTACCTTCATTCAGGCAACGGATGTTTCCCTGGGTGGAACCACCGTTTTCACAAAACTAAAACTAACCGTAGAGCCCAAAAAAGGAAATGCGCTGATATGGTTCAACTTGAATAATGCTGGAGATCCGGATCCCCTCACCGAACATTCTGTTTGCCCTGTCGTAATTGGTTCCCTATGGAGTGAGTTTTATATAGTTATCTGTAATTAAAAATAAAAAATATCCATTTTATTTCCCAGCAATAACTAAATGGATTCACGAACGCCAGCAGATATTTAAGAAACCTTGTTTTGCCTAATTGTAAACTCTGTTAGAGCCTCCTCAAGGAAGTCATGCAAATAAACAGCCAACGCCGAGGGGAGGAATCTCCAACTGGCGCCCACAGCTCCTTCCGCCTGGTGTCTCTTTCCATTGTTTGCCATAAAAATTGCAAGTGCCACTAAATTCAGAGCCAGTATTGGCAGGGGAGCCTCCGAAGAGGGGTTGAGCTTATGTGCTTGCTCCAAATACCATTTTGTGGAAGTGCACACTTCAATGAGGGAAAGAGGGCGACTGCAGCAGTCAAGCAGGGCACCGAGGACAATAGCCAGGCCGACGTACTTAAGCCAACTTTGACTATGCTGCATCCAGGAGTCAGATAATGGGGGTGCCACCATGTGATTTAAAGGGGCAACGAGCAGGATCTTATGAATATTTTAAAACAGGGTTAAAAAAGGGGTCGTGGACATAGACAAATTAAAATTTCAAATTCTGAATACATGTTAGCAATTAGATTTAAAAATTTCTGAGCTCTTATTTCTTTAGTCAAGAAACAGGAAGAATTTTAATTGAAGGTAAAGCAAACCCTAATAGCAAACAAATCATAACTTATATAGGAAAAAATGTTGTTTAATTTTCGGGTTTGTACCTCTTTCAAGAGCATTTCAAATCTCACAAGATAGGGGGGAAACGCAAATACTTAAAACTGTTCCACTAATTGGAATATTTTGGAGTGGCATCCTTAAACCGTGCATTAGTACACAGCCAAGTCCATCTGGAACTTTAAATGAGTTTAAAGGCCACTAGGTTTAGTAGGGAGCCAAAGCGAAACGAAATCAGCATGAAAGCAATTGTCCAAGTTATTCCAAAGTGCCCGCAGGCAAAAGACACTCGCACACCGAGGCAACTGCCAACTGGCGGGACAACTGGCAGAAATGGAAGCCGGGACGAAATCCTCTTGCTGTTGCCGTCAACTGAAACTGAAGCTGTTTTTGAAACGGGTTAAGGGGAAGGCGCTGTCGGATGATGGCCTCGCTGGGAGAAAGGAAGTGCCGGTGATGTTGTTTATGTAGCCATTGAAACTGCGATCCGTAGTTAAGGATTAACAAGTTAACCAAGGGCTGCCGTTGTTGACAAATGCAACGCAAAAGTCGTTAAAAAGAACGAGGACGCCATCTAATAATGTTGGATATGACATTAATTTGTTCACAAGTTTTCTTTTAGACGACAATGTTAACTATTTTGGGTATTTTCGCACTATTACCTACTAGCCTTTTTCATGATAAAATAAACTTAAAGTATTAGCTGCCTTATCTACTCGTTATTTAAAATTAAAACAAGTCTCACCTCCCCAGATCATTACAAGTTATAATGAGTGCAAACAAAATAAGGCAGTGACTAAGCCAGAAGTTCCAACAGTCCACTGCCGTCGTCCATTGATTTACTATGGCCGTTTGCTGAAGCACCAGAATGCGGATGCACCAGAACTGGAAGTGGAAGTCCCAGGAAAAGGGAATCCATTGAATGGCTTGCCAAGTTGTTGAAAGAACTGCAGCGCAGGGAGCCAGAAAAAGCGAGAAGCAAAAAAAAAAAAATAAGTCGGAGCAAATGCAATCTAAAGCGTCTTCACTTACCAGCAGGAGTTAGCCAGAGAATCCAAGGAGGACGATACCACAAAGTGTCCAGGGGGACTTGGCCAGGGGCATTGTAAAGCGATTTCAAAATGTGCTGAACTCTTAAGTGATTGAATTGTTATCGGTGACATGAATTTGTCCGCTGATTTGAATAGGGGGACGATGGGCATCAGCGCTGCAATGAAAAGATGGCAGATAAGTTAATTCAAGTGCGAAAAATAGAGATTTTATATATGTACTAACCTGAATCAGAATGTCGACGGGCTGTAGTCCTGCAGCTTTTTTACACCAATCAGCAGGTGACCCTAGCACAAGACCCATATAATAGCTTTAGAATTTAATGTTTTCAAATGCAAACGAGCATAAGATGAATCACAAAAATTAGACATGCATTTTTAAAGCTTTACTTAAGCCAAACTTTTAAAATTATCAAATGATTTCACTGAAGATAACAATCAATAGATTGACACCAATTTGAACGCTCCTATAATTTTGTAACCAGCTGTAAGCGCATGCACATCTATTCCATGCACTTTGCGGCGAGTCACTGCCGCAGTGGCAATCTGCAGAGACTAGGCCATAAGGGTTTATGGTAGTCATGTCCGTGCCGCAGTTCCTTACTGACAGCTTATATGTGCGCTCCATAAATGTCACGCTGAAAAAGAGAATCCTGGCCTGAGCGCCAAGGGGCCAAACCTAAAAATACCCTTATGTATTAAGACTACTCCCAGTACGAATTCATCTTTGCAGTAGGAAATCTCTGTCGCGTTAGAAAAAAAGTTAAAGTTAACTTATACATTTATTAATGTATTTAAAGGTAATATGCAATGGAGTGTCAAACTCTGAATTATAGATCGTCATCACTGGGCAAATCGCCGTCTTCAAATTTACGTATAGCCTCCCAGCTGATAGGCGCCTTCTTTATCAACTGAATAGGAGCCATGCAACATGGACAGCCACGAAGGTCCATGAGAAATAATTCCTATTAAATTTAAAGGAAAAAAAATTATGATTAGCAAATTACTTAATAAATGTATTAAATTAAACAAACTCTGGTTATTATATATATACGACCACCAAAAGATGGTCTCTACTATAGTGTTCTTGTCAGAATTATTATTATATTAAATATTTAGAGCACCAAATATGAAACACCAGGAAAATATTGGTGACGCCTCTAATGAGTATTAATAAAAGGAATAACAAAATAAATGCTGTTTTTGTGGCGGACTTACGTGGGGATGTTTCTCGCAAATCTCGGAGATGCGACCGTAGAAATACTGATGACAACGATCACATTCGTAGGCGGTGGGAGCACGTTGGCATATGCAGATCCTGGTGCTCCCGTGGTTCTCGGACATATCGTTCTTGAGCTTTAGACGCTCCTCCGACTGAATCTGGATATTGATCTCCCGATTCAAGGATACACTTCTGTACAGATCCTCCTTGAACTGGAGGTACTCCTGCTGCTCGGCCTCCAATTCGGTGAGGGGAAAGGACTTAAATGATTTCGACGACGGCTTCTTGATTATGGTAACATCTTTAATGGATGGAGCCGAGAGGTTCCCGTAGCGTTCTCGGAGCCGAGCGGCTATGGAACACGGATCGGTGCCATTCGTCTCTGCAATAAAAACCTTTTAAGCAAATACCTTACTGCGAAAAAAATCGTATAGCTACCGAATTTCTCAAATGACATCGTGTTTGTTTATGTTACCTCGCTTTTGCTTTGCTGTATACGAATCAAAGTATCGTAAGCGCTGACAAATATTTATAAATTTGTTTTCTGAAAAGTTCCATTTGTAAGAAACTCTAGTTTTCCGTTATTCTGACCGAAAACACTTTGGCGACGATGCCAACTTAAGTTAACGGCGTTTGACAGTGTTGTGAAACGTGAGAGGAGTCAAAACAAGGTATCGGCTGACTTTTGTTTGCTTAAATTACAGTGATCACTGGATATGCGGTTTATGTAATCAGTTGCCAAAGTAAAAAAAAATTCAGAAATTCCAAATTTATGCCTCGCTTGGTAGAACGTAAACATGCTGATCAAATGAGTACCAAAATGTCGAGTATTAACTATCCACCCTTTGAAGAGTCCACTGGTATAAGCATAGTGCCTTGCTGCATAAATCAAAATTCAATTTAATCAAAACTTTTGAATTAAATTATAATTTTTATCTTTATTAAATTATTGGAACAGTTACATAATGTTTATGTATTTCTATAATGGGGTAACCCTTCAATATTCGTCAACGAATTCATTGTTTGGCATTAGAGCATCCAATTTTATTTTTTAGTCTCGGATTCTTGCAAGTAATTTGCATGGGCTCCGCAGAAAGCACAATTACGCGCATCCATAAGAAAAGTCACCTATGAATCAGTCATAAATTATATTTATTAAAATTATTTACCGTTTCCTAGCCCATTTAATACTTACTTCGGGATGTTTTGGACAACGTTGCGAAATGCGGCCCACAAAAGATTGCTTGCAGCAATTGCAGACGATAACATTTTCGCGCTTACGCTCGCATATACAAAACTTGGTAGCGCGTTCAGTACCCAAATTAAAGGTTGAAAAGTTATAGGACTTCTGGAACTCCATTTCTCATCCGACAAGATTTAATAACTTCAAAGTTTTTCTGCCTGCTATAGTGCTGTAAAACGTCTGCCTGCTCTATATTAGGAATCGATTTATTGTAATCGAATAGGATGTAGCAACAGAGTTGCTCACCTATAGCCAAGATACATTATAATCAGTTAGCCACTAAACCTATTACTAAAAAAAAGCGTTTGTTTTTCTCGAAATCGTCTGCCGCGTATGACAAAACAAATCAAGAACATATTAATTAAGTGTACCAATAATAAGATTAGGATTATTGATCTTAGTTCAGTGGCGTACGCAGGTGTGGCCATATCAGCTGCACCCTTAACTTTTAAAAAATTATGACCTCTAATTTATTTGTATGTAGAAATACAAATTCATCTGTCATTATGTAACGCGGTTTCTGCTTTCTACATGCCCAAACGTATGCACTAATTTTTGCGCATTTTTGGCAATTTCTATCGATGCCAACAGCTACTCACTGCCGCTGCGATCAGCTGGCAATCACCACGCCTAATTTTGTTTACTAGTAGACCAGCTGTCCCGGCTTTTGTTCTCTCGTGCCCAATTGTTTTTCCCGCATTACTCTTCAGTTATTAAATTTCGGCTTTCAAAAATAAGTGCGTCAGCTTAAAAAAATTAATTTTCGCGGAGGAGGCCATATTGGGTTTGATCGTTGAACAACAGTAAACAAAGTGATAAGGTGTCCCAATCCCGCGACATTTCAGTGAGTGCACATATTTGCAACTAATTAGTTCAAATCCGTAAGCAGCTTCAAATTTATTTTCATTCAAGCTCCTTCGAGAAAACTACTTAAACATAATGGCAAGTTCCACAAACCTCTTGGATTTGCCATTGGAAGTTCTGGATATAGTTTTCACCAACTTAAGCTTTGACGATAAGTTGAAGCTAGGCCGTGCTGATAAAAATTTGGAAGCGGCCTTCAAATTCCACATCCGAGATAATTACACGAAAATTTCATCCCGAACACTACCGACTGAGTATTGGTCAGAATTCTTGATGATTTGTGGCTCCATTGTCAATGAAATAGATGTTAACTTTTTAAATGTTCATTATTTTGATCTGATAAAGCAATATTGCTGCAACCTGAAGATCATAAAAGGACTCTATGTGAAAGATTGCAAATGCTTGGCCGCCAAAAATTTACTTGGGGGATTAAAAAGCTTGGAGTCTCTGGAAGTAACTATAACAAATAGGAACACAGCAAAAGTATTGCATGCCTTGCAGGAACTTTCGAGTTTAAAAAAATTAATGATAAAGTATCTAGGTGCCAGTCCAGGTATGTAAGATCAATTTAAGATCAACTGTTTTTAACTTTATTAATTTATTATTTAGGTGATTGTAATTCGGACGTTCTGATAGAACCAACAAGCTTGGATCAAGGTAAGATTTTTTTTAAGATAATACACCGATATAATTTTTTCTTTCTTATTCAGCTCACATACATAAGTTAATCAATTTGGAAGAGTTGGTTATTAGTTCGAGTTTATATCGTCATCCAATCAACATTAACGATATTCAATCCCAGTTAAAAAATCTTCGCTCATTAACACTAAGCAATATACAAGTTTTTTCACCTATTGAAGACATGGAGATTACTTTGCCATCGTTGGAAGACCTATCCATTAGTCGATCGCTTATTAATTTCCAATTGCCTAATTGTCCAAAGCTTCGATCGCTTAAATTTTTCAATTCGCACTGTCATTTAAATAACGTTTTTGAAAAGTGGATGACGATCCATGTTAAAACTTTAAATTCACTTATTGCAGACAGTGGAATATTTAACAAAAAAATGTTGACTTCTATGTTTTCATCAAGTGACTTCAAGGAATGGCAATGTCCCGAAATAGATACGCTTATTGTAAACAGTTCTGAAATTAAGTTTCCTTTACCATTTTGCCCCAAACTAAAATCTTTGGAATTAAGCGGCACACGCTTTTTCGCGATGAACTTTTCCTATAATTACCTACTGTATTGTCCGAACCTCTTGTCTTTAAACTTGGAGTGTTCCGAAATTCGGTCGCCAGATTACTTTCACAACTGGATCGCCAAACACTCGAATTTACAAAGTTTGAAATTACCAGAACAATTTTTTGAAGAACACGAATTTCTGCACTTACTTTCAAGATGCAAAAAATTAAACAAATTAAAAATTTCAACCTACGACAAAAATATAAAAAAAATATCACGCGGTTTTCTTAATTTATTTATCAAAATACTTAAACAAAATGGATTTACAGAAAGCAAGCCATTTGAATTAACAGTTTCCCCTAATGCATTTCAAGAAATACAAAGTATGGTAAGTTTGTTTGAAATTATTTTCTTCTTAAATACAATGTATTGTTTGTTTCAGCTGGATGAAATTCCAGGTTCCGCACTGTGTAAATGCTTTACAATACATATTGACGGGCACGTTTTTCTCGATCCTTATGATGAGAGTGATAACGACATGATGAGTATTTCCTTAAACCGATTGAATTCAATTATAACAAGTTAGTTACAAGGAGGAGCGCGGTACATTAATTTTTTGCGCAATATGTGATGTGGCTTAAATTAAAAAACATTTCCATGCAAACAAGTCAAATATAAATGGATATTATTGTGAAAAATTGGAAAATAATGGGTTGGTGTATCGGCTGTCCTAGCATGTTTCGCAACCGCCGCTCACACTACAGTCATCTCTGTCTTTCATACACAGCTTGTGTTGGTGCAGATGGGCAACGGAGTGGGGAACGCTGGAAGTTGAAAAGCGACATTCTGGACGTTCCTCGTACCGGCGGCTCGTTGGTCTAGAGGTATGATTCTCGCTTCGGGTGCGAGAGGTCCCGGGTTCAATTCCCGGACGAGCCCAAGTGATGTCGAAAATAATTTTTTTATTTCTTGTTTTGAATTGCTTGTATACCAATACCATTCCTTTTTCTCAAAGCTTAACGTGCTGTAGCCATTTCCACTAACTTTTCCCAAGTCTTAAAGACATGTCCATATATAAGCGAAAAAAATTAAAAATCAAGAAATCGTAAATATCTACACGAATAAATATTATTGATCCATAATACTTTGCTCTCATGAATCACAGTCTTAAAATACATGTGTTAAGTAACCCACAATGCACTACAAGTTTTAGAAAGACTCTGATTAAGTAGAGCTTAAATATTATAAATGAAATAAATGCTACAGTTTTTTGAGTCTCAAAAATACTTGTGGATTAGTGTTGTCAAAGCAAATTTTTTTTTTTTTTTAATTTAAGAAAAGAGAAACAGCACTCTACTTTGTTTTGTGCTTCCTTCATATCCCTTGTTTAGTTTTTTTATATTAATGTATAAGCCAAATGTTTTGTTTATATAATTATTTAGTTTTTAGTATTATGGATTCGATATACTTAGAACAAAACGGGTATCCCCACAAATCGAGTGATTAGATTACAGTTTTCAATAATTTCTTTTCATTCTCCATCGCTCCAACGTTTTGAGTAAGTGAGCTTAAATTAGCTCAATCGAGGGAGCACCCAGTATAGGATTTGTATCTTTTTGTATTTAGATTACTTAATTCTTAAGCGCTGCCGCGGCCTTGTCTGTTTTATGTGTGTTTATTCATAATGAAAGGTTTTATGCTTGTGGGTGTTTTGAGTTGAGGGATGCAGTCACTCCAAGGATCGCATCGAATGTCCTCTATTCGTATTCCAGTACGTTTTTATGATAGAACAATAAATAACTGAAAGAAGAGGGAAAATAAAAAGCATTAATAAATAAATAATGACGCTAGTCGGCACTTAGTCTTTACATTAGATTTTAGTAAAATTTTAAGCAATATTGTGAAAACTTTGCCAAACATTTAACTAGACAAAAAGTACTTAATTCTTAATAACAGGATAAAATATTGTTACTATAGATTTGACTTCAGAAGTTCTTTCTGTGCGCATCTCACGCAACTAAAAAGAAAGTATAAAAAGAAGAGTCTGGGAATTCCTTACCCCTCGCTGTCCAGCACCTGCTTAAGCGATGCCATCGTTATCACATGATCATCGCACTTAACCCACGTGTCCTTCTGGTGCCTCACATACGCCGTGTAGTGACCCGTGTCGATTGTGCCCACATGATTGACCACGGCGTACAAAGAGAACCGGAAGTCTCCATAGGCGTTCTTCTTCTCCGACATAAAGGGTGTCATATCGAACTCGACGGGGAATTGAATGAACGATGAAATCTTGCGATCGATCAAGGCCGAGTGCTCAAAGCGTTTCAGGTGGAAGGAGACCACGCTGGGCAGCGTGCGCAGGCTGAACTGCTTGGTGGACTCCTGGTAGGATTTGCAGGTGGAGCATTTGATTTTGGCCGCCGATCCCAGGTGCTCGGCGCGAGTGTAGCGCTCCAGGCAGTCGATTAGTGTTTTGGGGGACACTCCACCGTGCGTTGTCGTCTCCCCCAGATCCAGCGAAATGTCCCAGAAGGGATCGTAGGTGGTCGACACTCCGTTGCACGCCTGGCACACAACGTCGCTCTGCAGCATGCCAGTGAAGATCTGATCGATGATGCAATTGCACTGACCGTAGCAGTGCGAGCTGCTCGAGCTGCTCGAGTTGGTTCCACTTCCCGAGCCCGAACTGTTGCTCTTGCTCTCGTGCTCCGACTTTGCCTTCACGCAGTGCCGATGCAGCACGTCCAGGGTGGCGATGAAGAACTCGTGCGCATCCTGCTGCTCGTAGCCGGCCAAGTGCTTCGCATGGTTCCATATTAAATGCAGTAGCCGGTGCAGGGACAGCGGCGAACGGGAGCCCGAGTAGAACTCCTAAAACAGAGGAATCTCGTAGTTAATTTGTTTATAATACAGACTAGATGGTAGTTCTATTTGGTTGTTAAATTCTTTTTACTTTGCATTGTACTTTTTTATTTTAATATTCATTAATCTCTTCCAACCAAACTCTAACAAAATGTAAAAACTAAGCGTTCTTAATCAATAAATAAAAAAATCATAAAGGCAAGAAAAACTTCAGATTCTGGGAAAACGCAATTTTTTTTTAGACCATAAAGATAATTATCCGTAAGGATATATAATATGTATATCCTTAATATTCGTATACTTGACGTGTTACAATAGACTAAGAGCGCTTAGAAAAGGTATTGATTCCCCACCTGGAAGAGACGCGAAACTTCGCAGACGAGACATTTGTGCGAGGACTTGCTGCCGCAGTCGTGGCGATCTGACATGAAGTAGTCACTCAGCAGGGGCGTGTGAACCAGAGCCTGGGGTATTAGAGCGGATTAGTTCGAGGAACTGGGCGGATTCGTCGACATAACCAACCTGGACAATGCAGTTCATAAAGCAAGTGGCCCCCAGATTGAGCAGTCCCCTCAGTCCGATCGTTTGATTGGGCCTCACCAACCTGCGCCTCGCGTTGGCCAGCAGAAGATTCGTCTCCTTGGCTGTCGGAATCCACGGCTGCCAACCGATGCTCTTCTGCAGATCCTTGGCCTCCAGCTTGCGGTTGATCAGCGCATACTCCCTGCTCCGCGCATCGTAGATGAAATCTCTGCAGGCGTAGCAGTAGAGCGTTCCGTGGGACAACTCCAGAGCCACATTGTGCTTCTTTGATCGAAGGTGGCTGGTGATGTGGGCCCCCCGACATCCAAAGTAGATGCAGTGCAGGCACGCGTACAACTGGATGCCGTAGCTGCCGCACTCGAAGCAGTTGCAGTGAATCGCCTTAGGGGATTCAAATGCGTTACAATGGTTGTAATTGAAGAAAAGTAAAAAATAATAATAAAACAAAATAAAACATAAGCTAGCCAACCGTTTATCAATGGCTAAAAAAATTAAAAAGTACAATAAAATAAAAAGAACCACCTTTTAAATATAAATATTTAAAATTGTTTTTTATGACCTGAACCTATTTATGTTATAAAGTCCCTCAAGCCTAAGAGAGTTTGGTGTGTACACGAATCAAAAAATTGCTACATCTTGAATTTATTGTACTTATTCTTAAAAAAAAAAAAACAATCTGACAGCTATACAGGATATTTTTTATTATAAATTAGTTTTTATATAAATAATATATAACGGTTAAATATATCAAACTCTGCTGCGATACCGAATAAAGTGTCAATTTTCGAAAGTGTCAAAGACCACGTTTTTGGTGTTAGATCGCTAATTTCTCCTCTTCGCACTTCGTCATTTCATCCTGTACCAAAAAGTTTTAGTTTTAGGTACGGTTTTTCTTGTTAAGATGTCATTGAAAATATAATTTGAGTAAGTTTAAGCTTTCGAAAAATAAAAAAAGGTTAAAACCAAATTTTATCCTTACAATTAATAACGTCGCCTAGTAGTATATATTTTCCAAGTACATACTCTATGTATTTACATTTATATGTCTATCAATAATAATCGAAATCATCTCCATTAGCATACTAACTTATTATTTAAGGTTTATATACTTAAGGTTTATATTTGGACTCACATTAATTGTACTTAATAATATATTACTAAATAAAAAATAAACGGTTTTTACCAAAAAAATATATTCAACACTATTATCTATTTATTTTCATTTTATAACACTTAAACATTGAATTCTCTGTCAATCTTAACCCTCTCATTAAACTTCTTCGTGAATGCTACTGTGTCAGTGACCTTTCCCGTGACTCACTCACGGTTATGCAAATTAAAGCTCATCTCTGACGGCGCTCTTCCTTTCGCACTTTCTCACCTCTGCCCCTTTTCTTCTCTTTCCCCCACCGCACACACACTTACCTTCTTCTCGCGCGCATCTCTGTTGACGCAGGCAGCGAAGTAGGCGTCGATGACCCGGAATGTATCGTAGCTGTGCTCCTTCACGTAGCTCTGATAATGCCGACAGCCCGTCTCTGACATGTCGGCGGTGGCGTCGCCGCCCTCAAGTTCAATAGCAAGTTTTTGCACAGTACGCAAGCAGTCGGATAGGCGCAAATGTTTGGTGGCATCTAGGGGGTTTTTGCCCTTTCTTTGAGTGCTATCAACTGTTTTGATTAGATCAGCGGTAATAAACCGACCGGCATTTGTTGTTGCTGCTGTTTTTGTTGTTGTCGCCCGTGTTTCATTCTCGGCCGTTCCCCGGCCCGTTTCCGCACCCACCACCCACCCGTTGCAGCTCTGGCTGCTGCTGCTGCTAAATACACTCGTATTACTATCAACACTATTCTCTTTTGTTTTCGCCCGTTTTGTCGACGGCTGCAATGGCACGAATGCTTTGTCACACTTGCGCTGTTTTCGCCGAATTTTGGCCACTTTTGCGGTTCCCCGCCCGGCGGGATAAATCTGCAGTCGGCTGGTCGGCGTGCCAGCGAATTTGTTTAATTTCCGTGATTTTTCGCTGGCTTTTCTTGTTTCGGTTTCGCACTGCACACTCACACACGCATCCAGCCAACGTGTATGTGTTTGTGGGGGAGGGAAGACAGCTGGCAGTGTGACCAATTGCAGCGGCGCGTTCGAATACCGGAATAGGTATTTTTGCCTGTCGATTTGCAGTAATATGCATGGGTTCCAATGTTCAAGTTAAATAAGTTTTTTTTTTTTATTTTGTATAGGACGTTTATATTCTTAAATATTGTGAAGAACAATTCGAAATAACTGAAAATGTGAACTATAAAAAATTTTAAGCATAGTTAAGGACTCCTTCTTGTATTTTGCTCAGAGAGTTTAGTAGTACATTATACAAAATCAAAATCGAATATTATAACACTTACGAGTTAGTAGATCCAACTATTTTAAAGTAAGACAGTTATTAAATTTCCTTTTATGAATATAATTATTATATACATAGACATATTACCCACAATCGTAGACATGCACCGCGTTTTGCGATCAAACTAAGATGTTTTATGCTTCTGCTTTAAACACACGCTTTAGTTATGGGATTAGAATTAATATAAGAACTCTTTTTACTCCTACTTTTTAAAAGTTTTAAATAGCTTTTTGTGAAGAGATAGATACGTTGTTCACAGTTATTGCGTACATTTTTTTTAAATTGGGGATGCTGTCTCTTTGTTTTTGGTCCCACTATATATTTGAACGGTAAGTGCCGTCCAGCTGTTGTGTTATCGAATGAAAACATCAAGTGGCGCGCAATAAATAAAATACCAAAAGTTTTCTAAAAGCCCAGAGCCCGTTGAAGAAGTAAAATATAAGCACAATATAAAATATTTAGCAATAGTCGAATCGAAAAAGACTGTTTTTTTTAGGAAGAACCAACGATTTAGCAGTCCGTGGTTCGAATTTTCAACGATTCGATAAATCCTCTCCCCCATTAGCCAACACTGCAACATTTGAAAATACTGACAGCCTCCTGCAAATCGCAGCAGCCTTTTTGTTGCATTTAATTCAAGTAGAAATTAAACGAATTTGCGATTGGAAAAAATGTACAACGACGAGGTGCGCACGCCGCAAGCCCTCAAAAATCGATACTTTACCAATCTCAGTGGACTGAAATGCCAGGCGCGCAGAAATAGCCACACGAACAGCAACAATTCGACGGCGTCGGCGGCAACGCCAACGAATGGCGGCAAGGAAAATGGGATATACAGCCCCCAAATGTCGGGAATCGTGTGCACTCCACCCCCTAAAAGACTGCACAAGGTGCGCAATCCGTTTGAAGGAGCGATGGCGGATCGTTTGCACCTGCCGCTGATTGCCAGGTGAGTTTTCTTTTGGTGGAGTTAGCTCTGAATATCTAACTCCTTGATTTTTCCCTCGCAGTCCATCGCTTTTTCGCGCAAGGACTCCCCAACTTTCGTCCACCCAGTTCGAGTGGAATATAGACGAGGTATCCCAACTGAAACCCGCCGACGTGGAGCCACACGAAACGCAGTTCCACGATTCCCCCGATCCCGAGCAGGAATCCAAGGCTCAGCTGGCCATCAGCGCCTTTTTCAAGGAATCCCACATTGTGCCCAGTCCCGTGGACTGCCCGCTAAGGAAGCAGCGCATAATACTAAACCACAATGAGGATAATACTCCCATTTCGAATAAGTCCAGGAGGAAGCGGGACTGTGAGACACAGACGGAACTCACTCTTCCCCCGATACTGCCAAAAGCTCTGGAGGATGCTCTGCGTCCCTACTTTCAGCCACATTTGGCCGCCCGTCTCTCTGGCAGAAGGAAATCCAGTAGTAACGACATCTTCAACAGTTCCATGCGCAGGAAACTCTTTGATATGCACAACGTCATTGTTTTGGGCGAGCAGGATTCCGCTGATCAGTCCTCGCCGGTGGTGGGCTCTAGTCCGCAGGGCAAGCAGACCATGTTTGCAGGGCGACTGTCCGATTCTGCTTCCGGAGAAGGAAGTTTCGGCTGCCTTTCGCCGATAAGAAACTTGTGCGGTCTGCAACCAGGAACCCCCGATGATGGGAATTGCTCAGGAAAGAGGCAACTGCTCATGCAGGAGATGGGATTGCCATCGCCTATCGCTCCGTCCGAGCACCTTAGCCGGAAAATGGTATTCTCCAAGGTTGAGGTAAGCGTAACGGAGCAGCAGGACACATTGTCGGAGCGCACGGCTTTAAAATTCACACCAGACAGAAGCTCATCGCCTATGGGCGCACTGGAGCACTCGGACTGCAGCATCAATCAGCGTGTTAGACGGCTGCGGGTGAACAGCACTCGTCAGGTGATGATTGACGAAGGGGATCAGCCTCTATTCGAGGAAACCGATGAAGACGACGGAGCTGAGTCTGAGGAGGAGGAGGAGGAGGTCGAAGCCATGCAGTTGTCAACCCTGAGCTTTAATTGCAGCTCCTCCAATTCAGATACTCCGCGAGGACATAAAAGACATCGTTCAGCGCAGCGCAAGAATCTCTCGCAGTCTTTCAGTGCGAATTTGGAGGAGGAAGAAGATCGGGACCAGGATCCAGGTGCTAATCAGCAAGCAGACCCACCCTTAATCATCGTGCCTCAGCAAGGACCCAGGATTCCGCTTTATCGCACGGACAGCGGCTTCAACGAGACGTCCAGCACCTCGAACTTTGCCTGCTCCCAGGATATGCCTCTGGATGCTTCGATGGCCTGCTGCTCCACGCCTTCTACCCGATCGTGACGCCTGCTATTCTGCTATTCATGGTTGTAAATCGTTGGCCACAGTTCTGTAGGCTATTTTATGCAATAACTCCTTTTTCCAGGCTAATGAAAGGAAGACTCGACTTTTAACTGCAATGTAAACCCACCGTTTATTTATATTTAAGTCATAATTTGTGTGTTCTTAGTAAAAATTGCCAAATAGTTAAGTAAGCTGTTCGCTTTGTCAATAATATATAAAGTGCTTGAATTTTTTCTGTTAAAGAAAATCAATAATAAAACCTTCGATGCCATATTTAGTTTAATAAATTGATATGGAGTTTTACTAACTCTAACAGTTGGCTGCCTCTTTAATTGATATGAAATAAAAATATCATTTAAAGTCATTTCGCATTCCTATAAGGTTGGTTTTAGAATTAAGCAGCTTCGAATAAGAACCCTAAAAAATTATTTTAGGAATGGCAAAACAAGAGATAACTCATTAAAAATGTGCCAGCCAAAATGGTGTGAAATCGGGGACAGATAAATCTGTTGACTGCAACTCTATCGGTTATTCAAACTTAACGGACGTTTTCTTAATCGGTTAAAAAAAACGGCACCCGAGGGGTGGATGTAACTGCTATGTAACAAGGGGAATTCGTCATGTTAGGATGGTGTATCGGATAGGATAAAGAGTGCCGTAGAAAGGAGGGTGTCTCCGATAGGGTTGGCAGGTGAACTCGCTAGATTGGGAGACGCACTAGGTGGAAAAACACGATTTTGTCAGCGAACCGAATTTAGGGGAAACCTGGATTTTTTAGCGGGAATTCATGGGGATCGAGAGCATTGGGGAGCCGTTTTCACCATCTGGTAAGACTGTGTTTTTTTGAGTGCGCACGCGAGAAGAACGGTCGGCATTTGTAAGCAACATCAACAAAATTTAATTGTTTGTTTTGGGAAAAAATTCAAGTTGTTGATATTCTAAAATATTGCATTATATTTTTATTACGAAGCAAAGTAAGGTTCGGTTCGTGTGCCCTTCGTCTTTTGTGGTTTTTCGAATCGCGTACGGCCCAATCAAAACTAGTTAAACCAAGAAAGTTATTTAACCGAAATTATTTGTACGATCAGCGAAGATTTCTGCACAAATTTTCACCTGATTTTGCGAAGTGTGTGTGTGCGTGAGTTCTGTTATAAATAGCGAGAGAGACGAGGAAAAAGCAGATCGCTTTTTTCGACCATAAAAATGCCGAAAGAAAGTGCGGAGCGAGATAAATAAAAATGTTTGTTTGTGGGCCAACGAAATAAATTAGAACAACTCGTAAATAAGTCGGGCGCCAGAAGGCTAAGAGGAAAAAATGTACAAAATCGCAAACATAACCGAGCGGAAATGTGCAAATTGATGGAAAATAAAAAAAAGGAAAAAGTAGCAAATAAAAAAAATTAAAAGAATTCCTGTTACAAGAAACCAGTTCCTAACTCCCCACCTACTTCTTTCTGGCTGCATCCGTTTTGAGCGAAAGTTTTTTGCGCCCGCCCGTCCACTGTGCGAAATGTGTGCAAGCGAGTTGGCCAGCTGTTTGCCCAGAAGAGGAAGATGAAGCGGCCAGGAGGGGTGGCCAAGATGGGGAAAACGGAAAAATCTAGCCAATTAATTGTGCCGTGAAAGTGTGCGCCAAGTCAATGTCTATAATAAATACAATTTTTTACAATTTGCAGTCGTGCTTTTTGCGCGTTCCGATTCGATTTGATTGAAAGCAACTTTGCGAGAAAAAAATATAAAAAACTAACAAAAACGGAAAGTCTAGCCTTGCAATTGGACTTGGATGGATGACGACGGCTTTTTTTCGCCCGGATTCGAGGTAAGCCTGTTTAACGAGGGGACACTTTTTAATTTGCACGCGGACTTTGCATTTAAGGCAGGCGACAAATTATTTGCGAGTTGTATGCGAAAACACGCTCCCATTAACCTTTTATGGGTTTTTGAGGCGGTGATATAAACACTTGTGTTTTAGCTTGTACTTTTACAAAACCTCTTAATTTAGGCAAAACCAAAAATAATACAACAAAATAAATAATTATGTATAATTTGCCAGAACTTTTCAAATAATTACGAAATCATTAATAATCCAATATCTTGCGTGAGGATATAATATTTAAATATTAGCTTTATACAGGGGATTTTATTTTGTTATATAGCTATCAAAAAAGAAAATATATATTACGATTTAGTGTTTTTCATAGCCCAGATCTGAAGCGACCTAAAATCTATGATGTCTGATTATAAACGCTAGAGTTTCTGGACCGATAGTCTTGATGGAATAATGCTATATTATTGAAAAACTGAAGTGGTACGTGTGTGAGCGGGTCTTTCTGCACTAGTTAGAACGGAATAGGGCAATCAAGAGTGTAAACAACAGTTAAATGTTGTTAAACTCGAATCCAGCCGACTGCTTTCGTCACATGTTTTACGCTGGTAACTCCGCTCTCTTTTCGCCCTTCCGCCGTCGAGTTCTTTGCCTTATCTCCTCAACCCTTGTTATTTTATTGTGCTTTTTTCTTTTTTTTTGTTAAGCAGCCGGTTCTGCGGCTTTTGTATAACTTCCGCTATTGTTATTATTTTTTAGTTGTTCGTAGGAAGAAGTGTAATTAAACAGAGGTGGCAAGCGGCGAGCGGGGAGCGGTGAGGCACAAATAACCCTGCAGCAACTGCAGCAGCCGTCTCACGGGAGTTGCCACCTCAAAAACCGGTTACAAATCATTAAACTAAAATTCTAAAGCATATATTGTTTGTGTGCCTCGGCATCTGTACCGCTGTCCCTGTCGCACCTCGCTCCGTCCCACTCCCACCTGCATGCCTCAGTGCACAGTGGCGCACACAAGTGCAACTTGTTGCAGCAACTGTTGCTGCCGCCGCCGTGAGTTGCATGCTGCTGCCGCTGCCGATGCACTTTCATTAATCGGACGGAATAGGCCATCGGCAGATGTTTGAGTTGAACGAAAGTGTATGAAACAGGTCTGTTCAAAACTGAAGAGTTTGCTGAATAAATGACAAGTTGAATGGAAAAGAAAGAACATCAGATTCCATTTTTAATATCATAGATGCCCTGTGTGTTCGAAATTTGATGCACTAAAATAAGTAGCGATTTGATATTCAAAGCATTCACATTGGCGCAACAGGAAGATCATTTAATTATTTTTAATAAAATATTAAAATCTTGTTTTTCAAGAACCTCATTTTGAACTTCAGTCTATTATTATTATATAAAATAAACTAAATTTCTCCTCATCCCATGCGTGTGATTTGATATACATATATACCAAATCCTATAGCTACAAGAATTTTGGTAAAGTTTCAAGTGAAGTCTGAAATTATAATACCCTCTACAGGGTATGAAAAGTACAAGCATTTAAATATTTAATCTTTTTAATATTAACCATAGTACAAATTATGAAATGATATTAATTAAGAATAAGTTGCTCGTAATTCCCTTATGATTAATCTCAAATCATGAATTAAAAACGTGTTTTTTCAAGTGAATAACTAGATTCCGTATTAAATTGTATCATAATTATATTTAAAGACATGTCACAAGTCTTATTTTAAAAGGCAGAGCATCTCGACTTCTTCATTGGCATTTGACTAATCTTTCCCGTTTTTCCTGTTTCGGTTGCAAAAAAAACTAATTCAATTTGTCTAATATTCAAAATCGAAAGAGGGAAAAACTCGTTTATCGGCATCCTTGTGACACACTGACATCTTTTGCTAATCTCAAACCCTCCCCCCTTTCCCGGCCCCTCGGCTCCTCGCACTTTGCTTAATTAATTCTGCTTTCGGTTTTGTGTGCCGCCACCTATCAAAGTCCCCCGATTCCCCATTCCCTCTTGCCACCCATTGTTTGCCCTGTCATTTGCATTGATTTGCAAATTTTTTATTGGCCATTTCGAATCGAGCCTGACGTAATTTGTTAAACTTTGTTATTTACCTGCCTGACATCGATAGCTAACTAATCAGCGCGGGCTTTTGTGACTTTAATTTATTGGCGTGGGGTATTTCGGGCGATTTAACTGCCAAGGACTATTTCTTCTCCATGTCCTTACATTGTTTATTGGGCCTTTGGGTACAGGATTAAGAAACAATTGGACAAATAATTTAAAATTTATGATTCTATGTTCTTTTTAGCAGATCTTCCACATAAATAAAGCTGACGTTTGTATCGAATATGAGTTTCTTATCGAAGTACCAGCCTCCCCTCAGCATATACTCTCCAGATGGAAAGGGTAGAATTAATAATTCCGGTTTCAGATAAAAATCTTTGACGATTTGGTCACCCTGTGGTGTGAATATTATTGCCATTAATAATTCTTGCAATTATTGTAAATAAATTCGTTGTACTTACCACGAAGGGACAGGTGTGATTAACGTTTGAGAATTCCTTGAAGATATTGTAGATGATGTTTATGAATGGATCATAGTGCCTCTTTAAGAACCTGCACGCGTCAACAGTGGACTCCAGTACCCATGGCTTGAAACCATTGGCCTTCTTATAGATTTTTGCGTGAAGCTGTATGTTGTAAGCCGGATGCAGAACAGTTCCATTCAAATTAAGCAGAACCCTGTCCCGACTGACCGCCTTCAGACGGTAATAGTTGAAAACGAACCACGATCCGTTGTAACTCTTGCACTGGAAATTCGTAAACTTGAAAACAACTGCATCCTGTAACGAATAATGCATTTCTATTCACAAGCCAATCAATCACTTTATGTTTTGTTCACTCACATCCACTGCAAAGTTAAAGGCAAGAACTGCCCCAAAGAGAAGAACGTATTTAGACCACATTGCTTCGCTATTGTAATGCTGGCTTATTGAAAATTGGGTTGAACTCACCTGTCTGGAGATCAATATAATTTCCGCATGAAAGAAGCACTAATTTACTCTGTCATTTTGCTTCGTGATTAGCATGTAATAATATTCGTTTCGATTAGCTGCCTTGGTGGATATTGAATCCATATTTGTATTAATCTTTTCATACCTTTGCAGATAGGTATTAAATATTTTTAATATATATTCAGACAGAAGTTTGCAACGCATTGAAGAAGACACACCAAACCTCATAAAGTATGTATATTCTTGATCAGCATCACGATCTGAATCGAAATACGCTTGTTCGTCTTTCCATCTGCCCGGTTGCCACGCACAACTCCACTGAATTTTGTCGACCCGGCACCTAGCAGCACAACTTCCCTGCCCGGACTCCACCAAATACGTCGTACCTCAAACTCGTAGATGCGCCCCACACTTTACCTAGCACCTTTCGGATCTCCGGAAGACAGTGGCACTTGGTTTCCACTTCCACTCGCGCTGGCACTTTCACTCGTATGACTTTCACTACACTGTTATCCTGGCGTGGGTCTTTGACATGACCGTCTTCCGTGGCTGCTCCTTCCTAAGTCTCCGCGCGTTGTGCTTACGCTGTCCTTTTATATCCCATGCTAGTCCCGTAATCCTTCTCCAGCCGGCTCGCTTGATCGGATCCAAAGTCCCTCGATGTCCCGTTGATTTACGGCGTCTCCTCTTTGTGCGGATCCAAAGTCTGCGGATTAACCGTTTAACCTCGATGCCCTTGCCGACTAGAGTCCAAGGTCCAGAGCGGCACCGTTATTTCCCGGCTTTTTCGCTCTGCGCCAGTCCAAGGTCCGATATTTCCCGTTCCACCTGGACGGCTTTGGCTCCTCCCGCTGTTGCTATGCGACGTTTCCCCTGCACTTGAATATGCGGGAAGTTTTAAGAATCCTCACAGTGTCATATTAACAATCGTCGAAAATATAGAAACTTATGTAATAAAAAAAAAAATAGACATAGCATCGAAGTTGATTAGCCTTTATGTATTTTGGTCGACATATTTGATGACTGCAACTGCAAGGGTATATAAGCTTTGGCTCGCCGAAGCTAGCTTCCTTTCTTGTTTATAAGAACTTTGGGAAAAGGTTTTATAAATAACTAGTAAACCCAGCGAACTCCGTCCCGCCACCAGATGGCGATAGTTTTAGGTAAAACTTCGTTTGGTGTTTAAAAGATAAAGAAAATTTTTTTTTGTTTATATATGAAAAGGAAAAATTTTATTTCGATACCATTAAAACTTTGGCCATTTCCGAGTGTTTTGCAATATTACACTTTGGTTCCTCAATAATTTGAAGATTTAACGGTAATTTTAATGCTGAATGAGCCGTTTGGCATCCTTCTAACAATATGGCTGCTATTCCCAAAGAAGCACCTGCAACAGCTATGTTGGATCTCGCCCGAACAGTTGCTAAAGCTAATGACATGAGGAATGTCTTGTCAGTACCACCAGGGGCATCTAGGAAATATAAACCACCATTTTCTTCATCGATTGCCTTCATTAAAGTATCAAACTTTCTTCTGTTGGGAATTCAACAGGGGTACATTCGCTTGAACTAATAAATTTAATTCCTGGTGATCATATTCACGTTCCCGTTCTAATTCTCGATTAAATGCCTCATTCATTTCACGATTTGGCGCTGGCATTCTAACCTGATTAATATATTACCGCACATGAGGTAACACATATATTATCTTCGATCAAGAGTAAAACCCGATAATGTATCTCCTCATTCATCAAATTGTTCACAATCAGGATGGCGACTTCGTCTATTGTTGGAGCATTAAATGTCCTTTCGTGTGTTCCAGATGGTCGTTTATCTGCTTTTATGACAACTTTATAGTCATCATTTGGCATGCGCTCTAAAGCACTCTTAAACAACCTGACCATCGCATGATGTTCATGAAGCAGACACTGCATGTCTTGAAGAATTGCTCGCTTCATCCCTTCATTGATCGCTAGACGTCGATCAAGTTGTTCTTCCATGTTGCCCATGTAATTTTTTTTTTTTAAATTTTTTTTGTGTATCTTCGAAAGGTAGTAATGATCCAATTCGATGGTGAATCTGCCCTTGTATCTAAGATAAAGTAAGTTATTCTTTAACTATATTCTATGTAATACAAAAAAAAAAAACCTTAAATGTCGGATTAAATCCTCGTTCTTCGATAATATCTGCCCCAAATGACGTCATTTGGAAACAACCATTGTATTTTCGGGTATTTGCAAGAAAGTGGCGTGATTCTTGTGTTTCACCACAAAGCAACGAATACAATGGCTCAGGTGGCGGAGTCAACAATGGCAATTTAACTTTACCATTAAAGCAGCATAATCCAGGCGTTTCTCCGGAAAACTTCAGTGCACCGCAATACTCGCAAACAACGTCCATTTGCCCAATGCAAACGCTAGGATGCAAGCTGTAATCAGTGATGCAATCGTATTGAAACGCTGCTCGATTCAAATCAGCACTTGATAAATTTCTTCTGCGTCGCAAATGATCTATTTCTTGACCTCTGTTGTAAGCTCGACGATTCTGCATTGTCAACCGAGCCGTATTACGGATTGCCTCTCTTTGCTCTGCTGATTGAGAAGCACGAAGTCGACCCATACTAACGCGGTTCTGTTCACGTTCAATGTTTTGTTCTTCTTCAGACCTTCCATTTGCAGTATTTCGTAGTCTTCTTGCATTACGGCTTTGTCGGGAAAGATTCGATCGTCTTGGTCGCGGCATTATTAATTAAACTTCCCTTCACTTCAATTCACAAAAAGCACGAAAAACTTCACTTCACTTCAATTCACCAAAATCACAAATAACTTCAATTCACTTCAAAAAAAATTGAGTTAAAATGCTATGGTAGTGTGCTTGTCAGTGTGATGAGGTAATAACTCAGTTTATATGCGATTTTTGGTATGTCGAACGGAATAAAAAGTACCCTAAGTCCTATTCCGGGCTCTAAGCTACCTTCCTACCAATTTTCAGCCAAATCTGTTCAGCCGTTCTTAAGTTATAAGTGGTGTAACTAACACAACTTGCTTTTATATATATAGATTAGATAATTAATTTAAAATCGTTTATTTTAAGTTATTAGCCTGATATAAAAAAAGAATAGATACTTTGTTTATACGCTCCACCAAACAAATATTACTTCATATACTATTTATACGAAAAACGGGTACGGATATTAAAAGGACTTCAATGCTGCATAAAGACGAAATGTTTAAATGATTAGGTGTTTCTATGTTCTTTTTAGAAGATCTTCCATAAAAATAAAACTGACATTGGTATCGAATATAAGTTTCTTATCGAAATACCAGCCACCCCTCAGCAAATACTCTCCAGATGGAAAGGGTAGAATTAATAACTCCGGTCTCAGATAAAAATCTTTGACGATTTGGTGACCCTACGATGTGAATATTATTCCCAAATTAATGTAAATAAATTCGTTATCCTTACCACGTAGGGACAGGTGTGATTAATGTTCGAGAATTCTTTGTAGATGTTGTAGACGATGCTTAAGAATGGATCATAACGCTTCTTCATAAACCTGCACGCGTCAACGTAGGTCTCCAGTACCTATGGCTTGAAACCATTGGCCTTTTTATAGATTTTTGCAAGAACATGAATGTTGTAAGCCGGATGCAGAATAGTTCCATTCATATTAAGCAAGACCCTGTCCCGACTAACGGCCTTCAGACGGTAATAGTTAAAAACGAACCACGACTCATTGTAACTCTTGCACTGGAAATTCGTAAACTTGAAAACAACTGCATCCTGTAACGATTAATGCATTTCTAGTCACAAGCCAATCACTTTATGATATGCTTACTCACATCCACTGCAAAGTTAAAGGCAAGAACTGCCCCAAAAGAAGAACGTATTTGGACCACATTGCTCCTCTACTAAAATGCTGGTTTATTGAAAAGTGGTATGAACTCACCTCGGGATCAGAATAATTTCCGCATGAGAGATGCACTAAATTCGTTGTTATTTTGCAACAAGATCAATATCTATAAAAAAATATCTATTAAAACCAATAGAGAAAAAGAGAAAAGGTGCCCAGTTCGCGGAACCTCCACCGAACCTTTTGATTAGATAGGGTTCTAAATATATATATCTGAATTTAGCCTTTTTGGTCAAAGAAGGTAACTATAGTTCTTAATGCTAAGGCAACGCAATGAAACCAAATAAAAACCTATTGAGAAGAATTTGAATACATTACATATTTTATTTAGAGATTGTTAATATAAAACCTTGGTGAATTTCAATTTTTACAACGAAAATACGAATACGCATTTACGATTGAAATGTACGAAGTCTTTTAAGTTTGGCTAAAAATTAAATTTAATCTTGCCCAAGCCAACTTGCTTGCATCAAATTTTTTAATTTAAATATTACAATATGAACTTTATATTCAGTGTCTGCAGTGGTTTTTGTATGGTGTAAAATACCAATTGTGTCACATCAAATTAAATTCTCTTACCCGGCATTGTGAAACACTTATAAACACGACTATTAGCGTCTGCAAATACGGAAAAATGACACTGAAATGCTCAAAATGGACATTAATTTCATCTATACGCAGCTTACTTGTTTTATTTTAATAAAAATGGGAAAACTAATAGAAAATATTCATGCGAATACCCTTTTGTGACATATTGTACTTTGTTTATACACTCCACCAAATATTAATATTACTAATACAAAAAACAGATATGGGTATTAAAAAGACTGTAACACTGCATAAAACGGAAATTTTATTCTACAGAAAGCTTGATAAGGTCTTTTATGTTCTTTTTAAAAGATCTTCCATAAAAATAAAAGTAACATTGATACCAATTATAAGTTTCTTATCAAAATTCCAGCGACCCGTCAGCAAATACTCTCCAGATGGAATGGGTAGAATTAATAACTCCGGATTTACATACAAATCTTTGATGACTTGATGCCCCTGTGATGTGGATATTATTGCCAAACCAGAATAGAAGCTAGCTTCGGCAAGCCGAAGCTTATATACCCTTGCAGTAATCAAATCTGTCGAACCAAATACATTTATATTCTCGACGCTTGTTTATAGGACAGCCATATGATATTCTCGATTCACGGGTATTTAAAAAACTCGATGTTCTAAAAATCATGCTCGTGGGATAAAAAACAACTACTGACGCGTGCAGCTTTATAAAGAAGCGCAGTGCTCCATTTTTAAAAATAAACAACGGCGCACAAATTTTTTGTATTCTCTCGTATGGGAGCTATCCGATATAGTCGCCCGATCCAGTTTGTTCCGAGATATAGAGTACACTGCGTGCTGTATTTGTTGCTTCACAACTTTTGGTAAAGTTTCGGCAAAGTTAACATAGAAATAGATGGGAGGACAGACGGACAGACGTACAGACGTATTTCGATTCAGATCGTGATGCTGATCAAGATTATATATACTTGATGGGGTCTGAGGTGACTCTTTCACTGCGTTGCAAACTTCTGACTGAAATTATAATACACTTTGCTCTGCAAGGGTATAATTAGTACACATAAATTCGTTATACTAACCACGTAGGGACAGGTGTGATTAATGTTTGAGAATTCTTTGAAGATGTTGTAGACGATTTTTAAGAATGGATCATAGCGCTTATTTATAAACCTGCACATGTCAACAGTGGTCTCCAGTAGCCATGGCTTGAAACCATTGGCCTTTTTATAGACTTTTGCGTGAACTTGAATGTTGTGCGCCGGATGCAGAATAGTTCCATTCATATTGAGCAGAACCCTGTCCCGACTGACGGCCTTCAGACGGTAATAGTTAAAAACAAACCACGATTCGTTGTAACTCTTGCACTGGAAATTCGAGAACTTGAAAACAACTGCATCCTGTAACGATTAAAGCATTTCTTGACAAAAGCCAATCACTTTGTGTTGTGTTCACTCACATCGACTGCAAAGTTAAAAGCAAGAACTGCCCAAAAAAGAAGATCGTATTTAGACCACATTGCTCCTCTACTAAAATGCTGGTTTATTGAAAAGTATGAACTCATCTGTTTGATAATCAAAATAATTTCCGCATGAAAGAAACACTAAAATCGTTGTTATTTTGTTTCGAGATTAAAATCTTATGAAATTCATTTCGAATAACTGCCTTGTTTGACATTAAATCCATATTTGATTTTTGATTTAATCTACTCTTTAAAACTAGCTTATCAAAATGAATCTGTACTTTCGGAAGAGAGTTGGCCCTTGAAATTGTCTGGGTTTTTTTGTTTAACGGATATTTCACTCTTATTCCTCCATCGGTTTTTTCTAGCTACGCGGGATGTGGATCTGTGATCATGAGAAATATCCAGTCCACATTCTTCTTTTACCCCAACAGCCATTTATTTTGGCCAAGATCATGGGGTTCTGGTCTACTTTTCTCATAACAACTATAACTTTTCTTTTTCTTACCTGACTTATTACATATGTATGTACATATATTTTCGACAGTTCGTACCAGAAAACACCAGAAGTCTGTAGACTTTTTGTGTTTTTGTTATATCTTTTCTGTTAGTTGAAAAATGTGTGTTTTGTTTTTTGTGTATTATTAAGAAATGCATGAGTAATATTAAAGAAAAATCTTTCTCAAAACTTATTGCATAGTTGTTTTATTTTAATAAAAATGGAAAAAGACAATCTTCATGTGAAAACTCTTCTTCGCTGCATAAAACGAAAATAATATTCTACAGATTGATTAGGTGCTTCTATGTTCTTTTTAGCAGATCTTCCATATAAATAAAACTGACATTGGTATCGAATGTGAGTTCCTTATCGAAGTACCACCGCATAGCCAGCAAATACTCTCCAGATGGAAGGGGTAGAACTAATAACTCCCGTTTCAGATAAAAATCTTTGAGAAGTTGGTGACCCTGTGATGTGGATATTAATTTCAAATTAATGTCAATAAATTGGTTTCACTTACCACGTAGGGACAGGAGTGATTAATGTTCGTGAATTCTTTGAAGATGTTGTAGACGATTCTTAAGAATGGATCACTGCGCTTCTTTATAAAGCTGCACGCGTCAGTAGTGGCCTCCAGTACCCATGGCTTGAAACCATTGGCCTTTTTATAGACTTTTACGTGAGCTTTAATGTTGTAAGCCGGATGCAGAATAGTTCCATTCATATTAAGCAGAACCCTGTCCCGACTGACGGCCTTCAGACGATAATAGTTGAAAACGAACCACGATTCGTTGTAACTCTTGCACTGGAAATTCGAGAACTTGAAAACAACTGCATCCTGTAACGATTAAAGCATTTCTACTCAAAATTCAATCACTTTATGTTCAGCTTACTCACATCCACTGCAAAGTTAAAGGCAAGAACTGCCCCAAAGATAAGAACGTATTTGGACCACATTGCTCCTCTTCTAAAATGATAGTTCATTGAAAAGTGGAGTGTCTGCTGATCGAAAAAATTTCCGCATGAAGGATGTACTAAATTAGTTGTTATTTTGCTCCGAGATTAATATCAAATAACATTCGTTTCGAACAACTGCCTATTTAATCCATATTCTAATTTATCTTTTTTGATTTAATCTTTCCTTTAAAACTAGCTAATTACGATGAATCTGTATCAAAATTTGTTTAGTTTTTATGGTTGAAAGACCATGTGCTGTACGGGGTTTTAAAAAAGTCTGATATTTAGTGGAGGTCCCAACCCCTCAGACCCCATAAAGTATATATATGTATGTATATTTGATCAGCACCAAGACTACTTTCCAAAAAAGATATTTAGATAATTTTTTCAAGTGACCTAATACTTCTTAGCTCAAATATGTGCTTAGAAATAACGTAGATTCTTCGGTTCACCCGTAAGCTGAGAAGAAAGGTAAGTGGGCCTGAAGAGACCCTTGGGCTTTGAGTGAAAAGAAAAACATTTTCAAGTTATGAAGATGTATTTTATTTTTTCTTAGGGTGTTCTACAAAACAGTTTTTATTCGCTGTGCAGCATAAATGCGGATTGAATTTCGTGCATATTTTCCTCAACGACTTTGAAAACATATGTAGTTTCGAGAAAAACGCATTTAAAGTTTTGGCTACTAGTTGAACTACGTGGGAGACGTCTTTATAAATACACTCATTACTCCAAAACTAGTTACCGGAATACTGTGAAATTTTCAGACAATATTCTTAGATATATATACATTCAAAATTGGCAAAAAAAAAATTTCGATTTTTTCAAAATTACAACTGGATATAACCCCTTAAATGGAGAGACTAGAATATCAAGAATGTATAAACTTATGGGATCTCCATCACTGCGTGGCAATCTTTTGACTGAAATTATAATACTCTTTGCTCTCCAAGGGTATTAAAAAACTGTTATACTATTATACATAAAATGGAAATTTTATTCTGCAGAAGGCTTGATTAAGTGCTTCTATGTTCTTTTTAGAAGATCTTCCAAAAAAATAAAACTGATATTTGTATCAAATATGAGTTTCTTATCGAAATACCAGCGACCCGTCAGCAAATACTCTCCAGATGGAAAGGGCAGAATTAATAACTCCGGATTCACATACAAATCTTTAACGAATTGCAGACCCTGTGATATGGATATTATTGCCAAAATTGATGTAAATAAATTCGTTATACTTACCACGTAGGGACAGGTGTGATTAATGTTCGAGAATTTGTTGAAAATATTGTAGATGATGTTTATGAATGGATCATAACGCTTCTTCATAAACCTGCACACGTCAGCAGTGGACTCCAGTACCCATGGCTTGAAACCATTGGCCTTTTTATAGACTTTTGCGTGAACTTGAATGTTGTGCGCCGGATGCAGAATAGTTCCATTCATATTGAGCAAAACCCTGTCCCGACTGACGGCCTTCAGACGGTAATAGTTGATAACGTACCACGACTCATTGTAACTCTTGCACTGGAAATTCGTAAACTTGAAAAGAACTGCATCCTGTAACGATTAATGCATTTCTAGTTACAAGACAATCACCTTATGTTCTGTTCACTCACATAAAATGATACTTTAAGGGCAAGAACTGCCCCAAAAAGAAGAACTTTTTTAGACCACATTGCTGGTCTACTAAAAGGCTGGCTTATTGAAAAGTGCTCTGACCTCACTTGTCTGCTGATCAGAATAATTTCCGCATGAAAGATGCACTAAATTTGTTGTGATTAAGATCTAATAAAATTCGTTTAAATAACTGCCTTGTTTTATATTTAATCCATATTTTCATCATTTTTTAAAATGAGCTAATCAAAATGTATTTATACTCTTCGAAAGACCACTGTGTGTACTCCAAAATTAGTTTTGAAATTTGATGCCTTAAATTGAAATTTGACATTGAGGAAGTCCCAACCTCTGAGTTCCCTTCTTGTTCGCTCACATCTGTTTAATTAGTGTGCAAGGCAGCAGCTGTTGAGCTGGGACAGAAATCCGAAACACCGAATCCAAGAACACACACCAGACTTTTCAGCAGGCCCTTGATATTGTCTGGGAATACTTATTAAACGGATATTTCACTCTTGTTCCCCCGCCAACTTGTTAATTGCGCACTTTGCATTCTATTGCAAGTTCATCATGCTTAACGGTATCGTTTCGAAGTGCAGGGATAAAGGCGAAACTGACTCGAAAGTCAGTTAACTAATTCAATTAGTGCCACGTGAATTACCCGTCCGAAAAGTCAGGAGTGAAGAGGGGGTGTGGAAAATGGAAGGAAGCCCCCTACCCCCCAGTATCATCAAACTGGACAGAGACGAGACAAGACTTTTGTTAACCCATTGTGTCCGCTGTCGAGATGATAACTCGGGGAGGCGGAGAGAACCTGAATAGACCCGAGGAGAAAAGAACAAAAAGTGCACAGTTCTCGGAACCCTTCACCGAACCTCTTGATTAGCTAGGGTTCTGAGTATATATATATATATGAATGTAGCCTTTTTGGGGTGATGTAGTTAACTACATTTCTTAATTCTAAGGCAAACCAAATAAGAAGTTATTAATGAGAAGAATTTAAATACATTATACTTGTACATTAAATTAGAACTTGTGAATGAAAATTAGTGAATTTCAATTTTTACAATGAAATTACATATACGAATTTACGTTTGAAGTGTGCGAAGTCATTTAAGTTTGCCTTAAAATTGAATTGTATCTTACCTAAGCAAACTTGCTTGCATAAATATTTTAAATTAAAATGGTGCATAAAACGAGAATTTTATTTTACTGAAGGTTTAATTAGGTGCTTCTATGTTCTTTTTAGAAGATCTTCCATAAAAATAAAACTGACATTTGTCTCGATTATGGATGTCTTATCGAAGTACCACCGCATAGCCAGCATATACTCTCCAGATGGAAAGGGGAGAACTAGTAACTCCGGTTTTAGATAAAAATCTTTGAGGATTTGGTGACCCTATAATGTAATTATTATTGCCAAATTAATGTAAATAAATTCGTTATACTTACCACGTAGGGACAGGAATGATTCATATTCGAAAAGTCCTTAAAGATGTTGTAGGCGATGTTAAAGATTGGATCATAGCGCTTATTTATAAACCTGCACCCGTCAACAGTGGTCTCCAGAAGCCATGGCTTGAAACCATTGGCTTTTTTATAGAGTTTTGTGTGAATTACAACGTCTTTGATCGGGTGCAGAGCAGTTCCATTCACATTGAGCAAAATCCTGTCCCGACTGACGGCCTTCAGACGGTAATAGTTAAAAACGAAGCACGACTCATTGTAACTCTTGCACTTGAAATTCGTAAACTTGAAAACAACTGCATCCTGCAACGATTAAGCTTTTTTAGTCAAAATTTAATCACTTTATGTTCTGCTTACTCACAACCACTGCAAAGTCAAAGGCAAGAACTGCTCCAAAAAGAAGAACGTATTTGGACCACATTGCCTCCTCTACTAAAATGCTGGTTTATTAAAAAGTGGTATGAACTCACCTGTCTGCTGTTCAAAATTATTCCGCATGAAAGATGCATTAAATTCGTTGTTATTTTCCTGCGAGATTAATATCTAATAGAATTCGTTTCGATTAACTCCCTTGTTTGATATTTAATCTATATTTGTATTTACCTGTATTAAATGGACTGAATAGACCCGCGAAGAAAAGGAGGAAAACACAAAATAAAAAGTTATTAATGAGAAAAACTAATTTCTTGTTTTTTAGTATTCTAAGATTATCTGATGCCATTCTATTTACCAAATTGATTTCCAAAATAAATTGATTACCAATAAAATACCAAATCACCCACTCCTTTATTTGACATGCACCCCCACGCCATGATGAACAGTTTGCCAAATTTAACTGTCGGTATAATGTTTTATATCTTTTTGTTAGTTGAAAAATTTAGGTTTTGTTTTTTTATGTATTCTTAAGAAATACATGAATAGTTTAAAAAAATGTTACTCAAAACATATCGCATAGTTGTTTTATTTTAATAAAAATGGGAAAATTATTAGAAAATCTTCATGTGAATTCACTTTTGTGACATATTGTACTTTGTTTATTCACTCCACCAAACAAATATTACTTGATATATTATTTATACAGATATTGATATTCTACATAAGGCAGTGGTCTGCTTTACAGACTTCAAAAAATCGATTTTTTTTTGTCTTAAATCTATTCCAAAACTATCCAAGCATATGTGTTCAAAATTTTAGAGGCCAATTCGACATATTTTCGAAGCTAGATCAGTTTTAGTGGCCGAGCGTCGAGCAGGTTCGTATGCTCGGGCAGACTTTACAGCCCGTTTTCTCGAGTTTTTATTTTCACAAGTTTTGGAAAACGGTGCCGGCCACAGTAAAAAAAATATATGTCCGATCGAAAAAAACCAAAGTGATCTAGCTTCAGTATTGAATTATCTTCTATTTGAACTAAAAAAAATGGATAAAAGTACTATTTAAATTACTTGTTTTGCAACTTAAAGTGAACTTTTTTTTCCAAAAAAGTGAATTTTTTTTTCAAATTTAAAAAAAATTTGGAATTTCGTCATTTCTTCGGAATTTTTTTAGTTCATATAGAAAAGGAACTTATAAAAAGCAAAAAAAAAATTGGTTCCACTGTTTCAGATGCATCGCACGAACTCCATCACCGGCACCGATTAACAAGTGCACACTCCAGGCGCCCCAGAAAAATCGTTACAACTTCCGCTAATTTCATTTATTTGCAATAATAAAAATTGTTTTTTAAAGTTTAAATATAATATTATATCGTCTCAAAATTTCGTTTACCGCAATCATTTCCTTCCCTTTCAAAAAAATTGTTGAAAAAACGCTCTTTTTTCGGCTCCTAAAGCAGACCACTGCCATAAGGATGGTTACGTGCTCCTATGTTCTTTTTAGCAGATCTTCCAAAAAAATAAAACTGATATTTGTATCGAATGTGAGTTTCTTATCGAAGTACCACCGCATAGCCAGCAAATACTCTCCAGATGGAAAGGGCAGAATTAATAATTCCGGTTTCAGATAAAAATCTTTGAGGAGTTGGTGACCCTGTGATGTGGATATTATTGCCAAATTAATGTAAATAAATTCGTTATACTTACCACGTAGGGACAAGTGTGATTAATGTTCGTGAATTCTTTGAAGATGTTGTAGATCATTCTTAAGAATGGATCACTGCGCTTTTTTATAAAGCTGCACGCGTCAGTAGTGGCCTCCAGTACCCATGGCTTGAAGCCACTGGCCTTTTTGTACATTTTTACGTGAGCTTTAATGTTGTAAGCCGGATGCAGAATAGTTCCATTCATATTGAGCAAAACTCTGTCCCGACTGACGGCTTTCAGACGGTAATAGTTGAAAACAAACCACGATTCGTTGTAACTCTTGCACTGGAAATTCGTAAACTTGAAAACAACTGCATCCTGTAACGATTAAAGCATTTTTAGTCAAAATTCAATCACTTTATGTTGTGTTCACTCACATCCAATGCTACTTTAAGGGCAAGAACTGCCCCAAAGAGAAGAACGTATTTAGACCACATTGCTCCTCTACTAAAATGCTGGTTTATTGAAAAGTGGTATGAAGTCACCTGTCTGCTGTTCAAAATTATTCCGCATGAAAGATGCATTAAATTCGTTGTTATTTTCCTGCGAGATTAATATCTAATAGAACTCGTGACGATTAACTCCCTTATTTGATATTTAATCTATATTTGTATTTACCTGTTTTAAATGGACTGAATAGGCCCTCGGAGAAAAGGAGGAAAACACAAAATAAAAATTTATGAATGAGAAGTATTTTAGTACATTACAAATTTTAACTACAGATTGTTAATAAAAAAAATAGGTCAATTTCAATTTTTACAACGAAAATACGAATATGCATTTACGATTGAAGTGTACGAATTTTTTTACGTTTGGCTTAAAATTGAATTCAATCTTACCCAAGCAAACTCGCTTGAACCAAATTTGTTTAATTTAAATATTGCAATATGAATTTTACAATTAAAAGACCAGAAGGCACTTTTCAGTTTTCCTTTCTGGTTTATTAGTATTCTAAGATTATCTGATGTCATTCTGTTTACCGAATTGAGTTCCAAAATATCAAGATATTGTTTAGCATCTATCGTATTTTCAAAAAAATAACAAATCACACACTCCTTTGCTTGACATGCACCCCCACGCCATGATGGACAGTTTGCCAAATTTAACTGTCGGTATAATGTTTTATATCTTTTTGTTAGTTGAAAAATTTAGGTTTTGTTTTTTTATGTATTCTTAAGAAATACATGAATAGTATAAAAAAAATGTTACTCAAAACATATCGCATAGTTGTTTTATTTTAATAAAAATGGGAAAATTATTAGAAAGTTTTCATGTGAAATTTCTTTTGTGACATATTGTACTTTGTTTATACACTCCACCAAACAAGTATTACTTGATATATTATTTATACAAAATTATACACCTAATTATGTTCTTTTTAGTAGATCTTCTATAAAAATAAAACTGATATTTGTATCGAATGTGAGTTTCTTATCGAAGTACCACCGCATAGCCAGCAAATACTCTCCAGATGGAAAGGGCAGAATTAATAATTCCGGTTTCAGATAAAAATCTTTAAGGAGTTGGTGACCCTGTGATGTGGATATTATTGCCAAATTAATGTAAATAAATTCATAATACTTACCACGTAGGGACAGGTGTGATTAATGTTCGAGAATTCCTTGAAGATTTTGTAAACGATTTTTAAGAATGGATCATAGCGCTTCTTCATAAACCTGCACAAATCAACAGTGGAGTCCAGTACCCATGGCTTGAAACCATTGGCCTTTTTATAGACTTTTGCGTGAAGTTGAATGTTGTAAGCCGGATGTAGAACAGTTCCATTCAAATTGAGCAAAACTCTGTCTCGACTGACGGCCTTCAGACGGTAATAGTTGATAACGTACCACGACTCATTGTAACTCTTGCACTGGAAATTCGAAAACTTGAAAACAACTGCATCCTGTAAAGATTAATGCATTTCTAGTCACAAGCCAATCACTTTAAGTTCTGCTTACTCACAACCACTGCAAAGTTAAAGGCAAGAACTGCCCCAAAAAGAAGAACGTATTTGGAGCACATTGCCCCTCTACTAAAATGCTGGTTTATTGAAAAGTGGTATGAATTCACCTTTCTGCTGACCAAAATAATTTCCGCATGAAAGATGCACTAAATTCGTTGTTACTTTGCTGAGAGATTTATATCTAATACAATTTGAATCGATTAACTGCCTTGTTTGATTATAGTTATCTTGCTAAAAATTTACCAAAAGCTGGTTCGGGCGATTATATCGAATAGCTTCTATACGAAAGATTGAAAAAAAAGGGGTGTGTCCAGCCTACGCACGACAGAAGTAAAACTTCTAGTTCCTCGCTTTCTTCTCATTTCATTATCTCTTTTTTCTGTCTTAGGTTAGTTTGAAGATTAGAGGTTAAATAATTCAAGGACGAAGCATGGATTTTTGTATCTAATATTTTCTTATAGATGAATGACGATCGATGTATAGTTCCAAAAATGTTTAAGGGGTTACATGGGTTTCCTCGGGTAAAAAACGGCCTTTTTTCAAACATTTTTTTTGCATATAAAAAATGAAATATTTCAATGAAACTTTTTATTATTTAAAAGATACATATTTAATAAAGATTTTGTGAAATTTTCAAAAAAAATATCAAAATGTCGGCCATTACGACGCCATTTCCGGCAGTCCCTCGGAAAAAAGGTGCCTCCGCGTTGTCAGCAGAACTTCTTTCAGGATCATCCAAAGTAAAAATAAAAAAAACGTGTTTCAGTATAGACAATAAACTAGGTATTGGACGAAGGAAAAAAAAAAAAATGAAAATTGGATTTTTGGCAGACGTTTTTACAAAAAAATGCAAATTTCGATGAAAATTTCTCGACATTTTTTTTTTTAAATAGTTGTAATTGAAAAAAAAAAAAATCCTTCGTTCAATACCTTGTAAATGATATCTCGAATACTTGTGTAAAATTTCATTAAGATCGGTTGAGTAGTTTGCGAGAAATTTTGACAACCGACTTTGAAAACATAGTTTTGAGAAAAATGCGTTTAAAGTTTTAAGAGACAATAGAAGTGGTCTCAAGCGTCCACCTTCTCAAGGCTGTATCTCCGAGACTATTACTCGGATCAACTTGAAAATTTAGGACAATATTCTAGAAATGTTATAGAATTTAATAAGACAAAAAAAAAAAAATCGATTTTTTGAAACCGTGAAACCCATGTAACCCCTTAAGGTAAGGTTTTACTAATTTTTTTTGCGATTTTTTTTTTTTTCTAAAAGAGCAATATTTTGAGAACATTGTGTAAAAAACCATAACGCGCCTTAAGAAGTTCCACTTCCAAAATTATCACAACATTGTTTTTGATCATATCGAATTGATTTCTTCC